TAAATGTTAGTACCGGGGAGACAAAGGCAGCCGGATGTGATGCTGGCCACCCACCCCCTTCCGTGCTGTGCCAGCCTTCATCAGTGCTCACTGACAGCACTTGCCCCAAAAGTCTGTTGCAGGCGATACTGGGGATCATTGTATTTGTCTATAAAAATGTACATCTTGAGCATTCTTTTTTTGTTGCTTCTAATCTCTTACCTTATTTGTGTGCGCCTGTCAAATGTTTTTCCTATATTTGTTTCTCCGTCTTTTCTTTCCCATCCAGTCTCGTTGAACTTTTCCGGTGTGTTTGCTCATCTGTGTGCACGCTTCAGATCGATGACATCGACCTCATCAGTGCCAACATGGAGAATGCCCTGGCCTCGATCGGAGGCTTCTGCTGTGGGCGCTCCTTTGTGATTGATCATCAGGTAATGCTTCTACTTCAGCGTGTGCCATTGAGGGGGTGACGATCGATTTGCCATTAAATGTTACTGTTGCTCAAAACGTTTAACTGTTGGTGATTGAAATGAGTACAAGGTGGGTGACTGGATTTCAGTGATGAGTTTGACCTTTCAGTTAGTCTGTCATTGGAGACTGTATTTTTGTCAGTGAGAAAATTACCTTGCAACTAAAGCCCAAATAAGGTTTGGCAGTCTGGTCATGTACTGTAGCTCTTGCCACATTGGTGCTAAGTCATGTTTAAACAATTAAGACATGCTCATCTGTTTTAATTGACTGTACAAAAAAAAGTTTGAGGTAGTTAACCATATAATTTGACAAATTATAGTAAAAGCCTGTTCATTAAAACATGTAAGGTCTTGATTAATCTTCATTATACGTGGCAGGTACAAGGCATTGTATTAATTGCGTTCGACCTAATATTTAATTTAGCGTCGATCATGGGTGCGTTGCGTATTTGTTACTGTTGACTGCTGTTGGTTAATAGAGTGTGTGTGGCGTTGCCCTCTCTCCCAGCGACTGTCGGGCCAGGGCTACTGCTTCTCGGCGTCGCTGCCACCGCTGCTCGCGGCCGCGGCCATGGAGGCCCTCTCCATCGTCGAGGAGTGCCCAGGTGGGGCGTGCGTGCGTGCGGTGCGGCACGCTGCCCCCGAAGCGTTTGCCTTTTGCTGGATAGCTGTCGACCCACACGGTGTACCCGTATTCTTGTGCAGAGAAATGTAGTTTTCAGGTCCATACGGCGTACAGCCATTTCAATACGCGCAAAAAAAATGTCTTTGTTGGTGTTTCTCCTTTGTGATCGGACTTTGTAGGATGAACTTTGAGGTTTATAAGGGCACAGGGTGACCAATAAGGTCTGAATTGGTCTGTAATAAGGCAGGCACTGATTAGGGGTTGACGGGTAAGCTCTTGGGAGTTTCTTGTCTTCGTTTTACTCCGTAACTCCTGTTCCCACACACCCCAGTGCCCCAGTGATCATTGGTAGGTAATACGTGCTTCAGATGCACAGTTATTAATACTATTTATGTCGTAATTACTGCTGGATTTAAAACGTTATTCCCAATTTTGCCTAAACCTTATAGTTGGCATTATATACACTGCATGGGCAATATACGAATGCAGGTCTTAAAGTGCTGGAACCATCAATACAATTTTGACATACATAATGGGATAAAAACAACCATATAAATGATTTGAAACTAGACCACTGCCGTTCTCCGAGTGCTTCTATGTGTATAGACGGTATATAAGCAATATGTTGTCAATAGCATCTGGCAGCTTAATTACAATAGGCGAGGATCTCGGTGTAGAATTAGTCAACACCCACTGGTTTACCAGTCTTAATATTACTTTGTTGTCCTTATTTGTGCTCAAATCCTGAAACGTGCAATCTAGAAATAACCACATGAGTGGCGATTGTAGGTTGGCGCTTTGCATGTCATCTCTAGATGTTAAATGTATGTGGTGCTTTTCATAGTCTGTAACATTTTTGGTTGTGCGTTTTATTTTCTAGATATTTTTGGCGAATTGCGCAAGAGAAGCAAGCACATGCACAGAGCACTGCAGGAGTGAGTAATGCAGGGCACCACAGTTGGCTCGTAACAATACACTCCACCCCACCACGAGCACGGATATCTCTCATGCAAGTTCCCACAGTGTGTACATCACTTCACATCCTTAATGTGACCGTTGTTGCCGTGTCATGTTATGCACCACGCCTTCCCGTGTTCCCAAGCACCGTCCTGCTCTGCGTCACGTTCACAACGTGGCGAGGCTTTTGCGAATGCGTGCACCTGCTCGTGCCGCCACGCGTGTTGTTTGCCGCTGTGGCGCTCGCACGCGTGTCGACGTGGTGTGCCGTGCTTGCACGTTGCGCGCAGCGTGCCGGGGCTGCTGCTGTGCGGTGAGTCCCCTCTCCCCTGCCACCCACCTGCGCCTGGCCGAGCCGTCGAGATCCCGGGATAAGGACAAACGCACCCTGCAGAGGATCGCAGAGCTGGTGAGTCCCCGTCGCGTGTGAATACCTGTGTGCTCGTCGGTGTTGTATGTACGATTATTCAACTCGACCAGATGTATGCCGTGTTGCGCTCATGGTAGTTAGCAGCTTAAACCAGTTTGCTTGCTTGGAAATCTCACAAGTGTGCATGGTATAATATATGCACCTGCTAGAATATGCCAACGTTAATTATTGTAAATATACGATGGCTGGGCGTCGCATCTGGATAATTACTGTGATGATTCGATGAATACAGATCAAGATATGTCACAGCTAATGCCACCGATGCCCCTCCACATTTCACCATCACTTCCTCTTTCAATAATAGAATTGCTTGCTGGCCCCTTCACTGACATCTTCCATTTCTTGTCGCTTATGTACAAAGGAACTCTTGTTCTGGACCAGTTTCTCTATTTTGCGATGTCTCTTTTTAACTTAGCGTACGTTCTTTAATGGAGCCACCCCAAAATATCCCAAGTGTCGTTTGTGTTTGTAGACCTCATCTCCAACGCCTTCAGCTTGCGTGCTCGCAGATTTTGGTTGTTCATGTTTGGAAAGTGAGAGGGGAAAATGTTTTTCTGCGTGTAGGAGACCGTTTTCTTTTCGACAGTTCTGCCAGCTTCTGGGATTTTTTCCCCATCAAAAATCCACGTCATGAAAATTTTTAAAGTTTTCTTTTCTCATAATCGGAATTGCTTCTATCTACTGGTGTCTGAGAGATAAAAGTGGATTCCAAGAGACGTTGGATCATAAACTAAAGTTCTAACATTCTGCACTCCTCTCCTGAAAACGTTCACTTTTCGAATGTAATCATTATTGTTGTAGTTGTGTGTGTCCATTGGTGTTGGCTTTCAGCATTTCCCTCTTGTCCTCCAGTGCCTGGAAGATGGGGTTGCTTTGACACAAGCACAATACCTGGAGAAAGAAGAGAAATTCACACTCCCTCCAAGGTAACAACATACTACACAGGGCCAGGAGAGAATATTCCAGTTCACAATTCTGCTGTTCATGCAAGGGCGACGACCATTTCCCCTTCGTGTTCTGTATGTGTTAGTCATGCGAATGCGAGCAAACGCAGTTATGCGTGCTTGCGTTTGTGCACGTTCCTGCGTGCGCGATATTGTGCCGCGTGTGTGCATGCAAGGATATTCACCTCGATCATGCGAATGCTGTAGTGCGTGCTTTGTATGTGCACGAATGTTCCTGCGTGTGTGCTAATGCAGTGTGTGTGTGTGCGTGCGTGTCCGTGTGTCAGTCTGAGAGTGGTGGTGAGCGTGGAGCTGACACTTGAGGAGCTGGAGATGGCGGCCCGGGTGATACGAGGGGCAGCAGGGCGCGTGCTCGCGCCTTGAAGGAGGACCAACGGCGAAAGAAGAGGCGCAGTTATTTTTAACTGAATGACAATCGTGTAATTTAAGTACAGGGAGCACTGATTTGCTTTTCTATTGCCGAATGAGGACTTTTGGGCATTAGGTTAGGGGGGTAACGCTCAGAAGGAACTAAAACAAATCAAGGCATGGGGTTTTGCACACTTGCCTGTGATTGCTTTGAAACATTGATCGGACACAAAAGCAAGAGGCTTGTGTCCTTTTATTTTTCACTTTTTGTCGTAATGGCATTACCGTGTAGGTCTTGTGAGTGTTCAGCGCTGCCAATCGTGTCAATGGGAAGATTCGGAGGTCACGAGGAATCCCAGCTGATGGCATGCGTGTGGGAGAATTGTTCAGGTTGTTCACACGGAAGGTGTCAATTCTGATCACTTTTATACTCGTGTTCATCGTGTGCATTAAGGCAGACGGTTAAAACTAATACTTTATCACACCTCCATTCCATCAATTCGGCACGAACATAACGGACCTTAGTTGTAAGTGCAGCAGATACACGTTGAAAGTTTAGGTGACGTACAAAGCTGCACATCTGATAATCGTGTTGAAAAGCTGTCCCGAGCTGTAGACTGGACAGGAGAGTGCTCGGCAAGTAAATTCGTTGCCATGGGCAGAGGGCCGGCCTGGTGTACGTGGGAGAGCGCGCCGGTTACCGTTCAGCCGGTTTAATGCTTGTGATTTTTTTATCACTGAAAATATGGATTATGACCCAAAGTAAAGAACATTTATATTTTAAGTTTCATGTTAAATTAACAATAAACTCTAGTTTGAGTACAACTTGCATGAGTTCTGTCCACCACAACTTGTATTTGTTACCGGTGCTGTGGAATGGTCAGCTGCAGTCCCGTCTCTCGGCTGTGTGGATGGTTCAGCACGTCATTGCTGTTTTAAGCTTGTGACACTTTAGTGATGCAACAGCTGCACAGCTGACGGACTTGGCTTTGTTGCAATATTTAACATTCACTTTTGGCACTAATTGCATCATGTGCACACACAACGTAATTAAACATCGTAAGATCAATGAAATAAACATGTCTTTCCGCCTTACTCGATTATCCTAATTACTTTCACATCGCGTGCCCTTTATTCCGCTGTGAACCTGGCTACTTGACTTCGATGCCTGTCTACGGCCGACGCGAGTCGAGATTGACATGAACTTTCCCCGGACCCACACCTCTTCCCACTCTCGCGTAGCGTGCCCCTGCTCCCCTGTGTGTTTAACCGCGTCACCACCTCACCTCGGGTTTCCCAACTCCAATCCACGCTCTGTCTTCCCCCATTTACCAAATTATGCTTCGCATTCCAATTAACTTGTTCCACAATGCACGCACCCGATAATTATTAAACACAAGACCCGCTAAGCAATGAACGGTGTCTGCATCACGTGGAAGGAGTACGCGCACAGATCTCGATTTGAATTGGCTCCTGCCGCAGACCTCGGTAATTGCTCTGCATCACAAGGCGTGTAGCAATCAGTGGGCACGTGTAGCCCTGAACGAGTTTGTATTTGAATGGGAAGAGTAAATGGATAAAGGCAGAATGACGGAGCGTGGTGGTGGATTGTGAGGACCCGGGGTTTGGGAAACTCAGGCCTAACCCTTTGAGAAGATCCTTACAGGAGACATTTCCATGTAGAATGATTTTAATACAGTAACATTTTGAAACTTGAATAAACGTTTATATGAAGGCCTCCCCAAGATACAAAAAGTGTACAATCGCTAGGCATACAGGCCTCCCAACTTCTCCCCCATGCCCTCTACTCTGGGCATCACAACCGCAGCTGACTATCCAAGCCAAACTCGCGTACCAGCAGCACACATCACTCGTAGTTTTCCTCCACGCTCGCTGCTCGGGTCGCCACCTATGTCCTGGTTTTCCCAAGATTTTCTCTTTGTTGAGGTAGCTGTCCTGGGCAGTCTGTTAAGTCTTCCTGGGACATTAACATTCCAGTTTTTTTTCTGCCAGTTGCATTCAGAATAAACCACACAGGGCAATGCATTGATGTGTATGTAGTTCTCTTCCCGCGCAGAGAGATTCTTCCCATGATGAGGTCCTCCTGGTTTTTTGAAGCCCCAGACATGGCAATCTCGCTCGCCACGAGTGCTATGATCTCATTCTCATGCGCACACAACCATCATATCCCTCCCGCCAACACCATGCCCTCCACTTTTGGCTCTTCGCGTGCGAGGCTTCCCAGCCACAAGCCTCCCCCTGCCCGCGCACGTTCCCATGACGGAAGCGGGCCCGTGGCGAGCGCTCGTGCTGGCAGAGAAAGGACGAGTGACGTTGTTGAGACTTGGTCCTGCATTCGACCATCATCTTGAGAACTTTGATTGGCGGATCAAGCTTCGTAGATTGTCTTGGAAACTGTAGAAGTCTGTGAAGTCGGCGGTCAGCCACTTCCTCCAGACGGACACGGCCAACTGTCCTGCTCCGTCTCCATGGCAACAGACAATGGCGTCGTCCCCAGCAGGGCCTGCAGACACGATCTTCCTGTACAATGGAAACCGAATGACATTCACGGGGTTTTGTTACAGGAAAATGAATAACATTCCACGTACACGGCGGTGAGCTCCAATTTCACCTTGAGGTGAATTAACTGGCAAGGTTCTAACAGTTTTACCGGTTAGGTGCAAAGAGTGCAATTTTCCATTATGCAAATGCAGTACATTCACCAGTGAATCAATGTATTTGCTATCAACTCGTTTGTATTCAAAGTAAAAGTATCAAAAGTTGCTGATACATTCTGGGTAACCATGTTGCAATGCGGCATCTTATTGAAGAGAGATATTGCAACGGTGTGGTTATGGAATGAGCAGGTTCATTGTTAGAGTGCACAACGGGCTGTGTACGCTGCCACTTCGTACGCGTTTGTGCAACAGGGCCAAAGCAGCAGCAGCAGCTCCACTTCACCCGAGGCAAATGTCGTCTCGCATGAAGCCCGTCGTGCGTGGTCAAGGTGCGCGCAGCCCCAATACCTATAGTGGCCGGGCACCTTCCCCTTCATCACGGCGATGACTCGAGCCCGAGCCTCCTCCCGATTCACGTGAATCACCAAGATGTCTCCGCCACGCCTGGCGAGAGGGGGAGTGTACAGAGGATCGATCACGAGCGGCTGGAACCAGGATTCGAACCCAGGCCCCCAACGGAGCCGGCCGAGTGCTGCGGGCCGAGCCACCCGTCCACACGCGGGCGTCGGCTGCCGCCTTCTCACTCGGTACGGTTCAAGCACAGGGCACGGGTGACCTCTGCCTCGCAGTGCCACGGGTCACCGAGAAACACCGCACCCGCACGGACCCGACGCCCGCGTACCTTGGCACCCACAGGCAGTCCCGGACGGATATCAAATCCACTGCGCACAGGTCATCCAGCGTCTCTCTGCCGAGTTCCGCGCCGCGCTGCTGCTCGACGGAGTCGCCTTTGTTGTCACCGAGCGACGGAGACTCCGGCGCCCGTTCATGGCGGCCGTCTGCTGCCTGCGATTCTTCGTCATCGGAGGAGCCGTCGACAAAAATCTACAGTGGGTGCAGAAGAGAAACATTGACGGTGTCGAGCAAACATCCATACGCTGTCCCAGCAAACAACTGGGAATGAAATCGGCACGCTGAATTCGCATACTATAGATGCTGTACTTTTACATGTAAAACATATAATAAACTGATCATTTTAAAAGTGTGATTAGGTTCAGTCATGTTTCGTGAAGTGGAAATCTGGATTGGATAAGCAAGAATCTTCATTTTAATGGGACGATCTCCAGGAGGTGTGTGCAAATAAAACCCAAGATGCATTGCAGGATGCAATGGAGGAGCATGGTTTATGAAGTCGCTTTCAAAATAAAAAAAAATAACTACAAATTATCCACCACTGAAAAAAACACAAACACTTCATTCAATTACAAGAAAACATTTAGTTAACATTTGTAATAAAAAAAAAACATTACAATGAGGACTATTGTATTAAATAAAACAAGCATTCTACAGCCAGTTATACTGGCATGCCGGTTGGAGTCAATCTCGTTTGCTCTAAACCACATGACAACCCGGCCATGAAGAAGACCACAACTTTAATCTTCAAAGAAACACGCTGAGGACACGGGCGTCACCTTAAGGCCTTTGCCCACGGGCGTAATGTGCAGCCGTCTCCTCTCCTCGCGCGTCCGGGCGCGAGCGGCGTATCCGGCGAGCGAGAGCGCGTCGCCACGGGCGACGCTGGCGTTCAGCGGGTAGCGAGCCAGCAGCGAGTACGACTCGGCGTCGCACGCCACCAACGCGTTGCTCACGTCGTCCAGGGCCCAAACCGTCTCCGCGGAGGCCGCGGGGTCGCTGCCGCGGGAGGACGAGGTCACGGCCAGGGCCGCCACGCGCGACGGGGGGACGGTGACCGCCGAGAACATCTCCAATCGACGCGCGATTCGGAAACCTTCCCGCTCCGCGATGACGACGGCCGGACCGTTGCCGAACCACAGCTCCTTCCCATCGCGCACGGAGACGATGGCCCTGACGGCCGTGACGGCCTGCCGCGAGTCCCACTCGCTCACGCCGAACACGTGCAGGTTGGCGTACGCGGGGCACAGGTAGAGCGTGGGCTCCAGGCTGGGGGAGCTCGGCTTGTTGAGAAACACCGCCACGTTTCCGTCTTCCAGCCCCGCCAGGACGTCGTACTCGTCCTGCGGCGGACACGCGGGCAGCTCCAGTCGCCTCCACCGTTCACGCTCCGTTTTACCGCTACGCTCGTTTACCCAGGAAAGCCTCACTAAGGCCCACAATTATATTTAAGGTTCACAATAGTAATGAAAGTTCGACAAAAAAAGTCTTAAAACCCATTCAATGGTTCACTGACGTCATGTATGGTAAAGTAACATTTTATAGAAGATTTCTGGCAAGCTGTGCGGTCTTCCTTCGTACTTCAAGTCCAACAAAGCGCAACACGAGTCAATACAATTGTGAAATACGATGAAACAACATTGAAGGGAAACTGACATCTCATTAATCGTCGTATCATGGTCAATTAACATAATTTTGAGATAAATTATATCGTGGCAACCCTGTTCAACGTTGAATGCTTGGCTATCCACCAGGTCCTGACTGTGCTGAGCCACACTTACAGGAGTCTGTGAAGGAATCGTCAGCAGACAGGTGACTTGGGAAGGGACCGGTATGATTCTGTCCGGCACGCAGAGAGGGCACATCTCCCTGAGAACGTAAATCTCTATCTTCAGATCCTGCTTCCACACACACAAAGACAAAGGTCATCCCTGATAGGCTTAACAGCGAGCACCTGTGAAGACCAGCACAGGCACACAAACTTTTTCGGTCTTTAAATTGGGTTCTGCAAATTCCAACAAAAAAATTTATTTTGAAATGTGGAGGCTCAGGTGCAATCCACGCTGAGGTCGGGACGGGCCTGGCACACGGCAAGGTGGTTGGTCGCCACGATGTGAAAGGTGAAGTCCTCGGTTTTTTGTATTCGTCGAAGCAGATTTTGACGGCCACACTGCCCTGGAATGAGATTGCTTTGATAGCAAAATAGCACCCGGCCAAATTGTTAGGTTGCAACTTTCTCTCGGGATATTACAACCTACGATGTAAAATGTATCTCTTCTCCAAAGCCAGTGACATCGCGAGTGGGTGCCCGTGTTGTTGAGCCCAACACGGCTGGGATGGCATTCTACACAACTCTGATGACATCAACACATGGCCCAATGTCCTGTATCGTGACAATGATCAGGAGTCTGTATTTTAAAGGGTATTTCAAACATGTGTTAAGTCTGCAAAAGAATACACAACTCAAATTCCTAAAGTGACAAGCAACTCAATTGGTGACTACACATAGCAATCGTCATCCCCTACTAGAAGACTAATGCCCACTTGCAGGCCAGGTGCAGAGCCTCTTTGTGTCACGCAGGGACAGCTGCCACTGGGGGCGCCCTTCAAATATTCAAAATGAGGTGTGACGCGAGGCCCTCTGCGTCGATGAGGCAAGCGCGTGGAGTGTGGCGCTCGTTACTACCTGCGTGGCGATCCACACGGTAGACCCGACCTTGGTCAGACACACGACCTTTCCGCCAGGGCAGGGCAGGTGCTTGGTCTGCATGTGGCCACTGGGCACGGTCAGCACGCTGTACCTCCTGCGTGGGATCACGATAAGGGGGGTCACGATGAGGGGGGTCACGATGAGTGGGGTCATGAGGGGGGTCACGATGAGGGGGGTCACGATGAGTGGGCTCGGCACGACGTCAAGCTTGCGGCCCACTGAGGTGAGGGAGTGCCGCTCGTCTGGGTTTGCTTATCGCCAGTCTCGGCCGCCACCGGCTCTCGACCAGCGATGCATTCGGCGTCCACGACGGCGACACCGGGGAGCAGCGGCGAGCGCGGCGAGCAGGATGAGGGTGGCGAGCGTGGTGAGCGTGGTGAGCACGATGAGGGTGGCGAGCGTGGTGAGCACGATCAGGGTGGCGAGCGTGGTGAGCACGATGAGGGTGGTGAGCGTGGTGAGCACGATGAGGGTGGCGAGCGTGGTGAGCACGATGAGGGTGGCGAGCGTGGTGAGCGTGGCGAGGGCTGCGAGGGCGCATGTCGTGAGGAAATGGCGACAGTGGCGGCGTGGAGCGCGAACCTGAGGATGCCGTCGCCGTACCACAGCAGCGCGTGCTGGGGGAAGGCGATGCAGGGCAGGCACGCGTCGTGCTGCCCGCACTCCACGCTGTAGGCCTGGCACGCTGACGTGGGGTCGCAGAGTGAGGTCACGACTTCGTGCGAAGACGGACGCTGCGACGCAAACCGGGCGACACAAACACCGCACGAACGTGAACAACAACAACGCGGCCCTTCCAGAAGATCGCGTTTACAGCCCTGGGACGGTGATGGAAATTCCACGTTTCTATGGTGGGGGGTGAGTCTATCCATAGGACAACCACTGTGGACTTCCCCGTGAAGTGGTACTCGACCGAGAGAGGGCTGATGGGCTGAGTCAACCCCCCCCCCAACCATGACCTAGATTAGAACTCACGACGATTGCGAGCCGCCCGCTCCACCGCTGGGCACTGGGTGAACACCGCTGGGTAAAGCAACCAGTGTGTAGAGGTCATGGCAGGGGGCTGTGATGCATTGTCCTGCAGGCTCCGACTGTGCTGGGGCCTCGAGCAATTGTGGAGAAAACCCCTCTGGGCCGTGAGACGACCAGGAGACCTCTGAGTGTCATCCCCTCGTTATCTCCCACAGGCAAAACACTACTTGTGAGTAGGTCCCTGCCAATGCGTGATCCTCCTGACACAGTGTTGCGAGACTTGGTGAGGCTCTCCCGGAGAGATTCATAAATAACATTTTTGTTTTAAGGTTACTGCCTAAGATCCCACCGCACGCTCTGAACTTTCGGAATTTGATCACCAGGCACTCCGGTGAGGTCACGGCATTTCACGGAGACAGCACCGTGAAACCGGCAGGTTGCATTTCACGTCTACGCAACGCGTTGGCGAGCGTGCGCTCGGGGGAACCTAAGTGCCGCAGGGATCGGGCGACTGCGAGGACTTGGAGCCGTCAAGGGGCGCCGCCGGGGGACGCCGTCGGCCGAAGGGCCGTGCCGCCCACCTGCTTGGGGCAGGTCTTCCAACAGTGCTCCATGATCTCCGCCAGCGGCTGGGCGTGCCTCCAGGCCTCGAGCGGCACGGTGGGCCGCTCGCCTCTTATCAGTTTCCTCACCACGTCCAGCGGCCTCCCCTCCACCGTGGGCCGTTGGCCCGACAGCAGCTCGTAGATGACCATGCCCAACGAGAAGACGTCCACCTGGCACGGCACGCCAGCAACGAGTCGCAGTGGACAAAGCAGTTGCAGCAAGGTTCATAACAACAAGAACAACAGCCGTGATGTCTGCACGTTTTTGACACTCGCTGAAATCCACGAACAACTCACTGCTGGCATCTCATCTCGCCTCAAACATTCCAAGGGGACCCCCAGTGGCGGCTGTCTCTTTGTGGTGCAAGGCAACTCGGCGCTGGTCAGCAAGTGGGAAGTGGGCCTTCGTCTGCCAGGAGGAGGCGCTGACTGCGATCGGAGACACGATCACTTTCCCGCGTGAGCCGATCACTTTGAGATGCAGGCGACCTCACCGGGACAACTCGATGACAATTCATTTACATACAACAGCGGTGACCCTCCCGGCCCCCCATTGGGATGTCACGTCCACGCGCGCCCCACTCACCCGCTCGTCGAACACGAATCCCGGCCGCACCTCGGGGGCCTGGTACCCCGGGGTGCCCTCGCTGCCCCGGCTGCCCTGGCCAAAGGAGAGGCGCGAAACGCCGTAGTCGGCCAGCTTGGCGTTGACGGCGACGCGCGGGTCCAGCGACCACACCAGCACGTTGTCGGACTTGAGGTCGCAGTGCAGCATGCCGTGCCGGTGCAGGTAGGCCAACGCCAACCCCATCTGGTGGATCACCTTGTGGGTGAGAATCACGCCGAGAGGCAGCGGGTCTGCCGGAGGGGGGACGGGGGTGATACAAAATCAAAACACCTCTTCAGAAACGTGGCCGTCGAATTAATGTAGCCCTTGCTCGTATATAACAGTGTGCACATATATCCAGCTCCCAATGCGCAGTACCACGTGCTTTATTAAACCAGAAGGTGGGGGTGCATCTTAGAGTCATGCATGCGTGTGTGTATACGTGTGTGCGTGTGTGCGCGCGTGCGTGTGTAAGTGAGTGTGACTCTCTAACAGCACTTTCCCAACAGTCTGTTACAGACTATATGGCGGATCTTTGTCTTCCTGTGACCAGATTCGTAGAACTTTACTGACACCGGGCACGCTTCAACGGCAAACGCCACGCGACAGCGCGACAAACGATGCTCTCGACTGCGGACGGCCATTGCGGGGCGGGGGGGAGGTGGGGTGTGTGTGGGCCTGTGGGGTGTTGTGCGGAGGGGGTGGGGGTGTGTGTGGGCCTGTGGGGTGTTGTGTAGAGGGGGTGAGGGGGTGTGTCGGGTGTTGTGTGGAGGGGGTGGGGGTGTGTGTGGGCTGTTGTGCGGAGGGGGTGGGGGGTGTGTGGGGGTGTGTGTGGGGTGTTGTGTGGAGGGTGTGGGGGGTGTGTGTGGGTGTTGTGTGGAGGTGTGTGTGGGGGTGTGTGTGGGGTGTTGTGTGGAGGGGGTGGGGGTGTGTGTGGGGTGTTGTGTGGAGGGGGTGGGGGGGTGTGTGGGGTGTTGTGCGGAGGGGGTGGGGGTGTGTGTGGGGTGTTGTGCGGAGGGGGTGGGGGGGTGTGTGGGGTGTTGTGTGGAGAGGGTGGGGCTGTGTCGGGGGGGGGGGCCGTCACGATACCGGCGTCAGGCTCCTCCTGCGAGCGCGCCAGGGCTTCGCGGCGCTCCAGGACGTCGCTGAGGCTGCCGAGCGGCGCCAGCTCGAGCACGAGCACCAGCGGGCGCACGCTCACCCCGAGCAGCGCCACCACGCACGGGTGGGACAGCGTCCGCATCATGCACGCCTCCACGCGCAGGTCCGCCATGCGGCGCCACACGCGCCCCGCGTGCATCCTCCGCAGCACCGTGTCTGCGGGCAGGGTCGCGAGGTCACGAGATCGGAGGGTCGTGGGGGACGAGAGGGAGGGGGTAAATAGAAGACGGGAATATTGATTTGGGTTCGGCCACAAAGTGTAACGATCCTGCCGAATTTGTTTGTCGTGTAAACCCCTTCACCACCCGACACGGCGAGACAGATGGAACCGTCGCGCAGCGTGCTGGGGTCTAGCGGCGCGCCAGTCATTACCGCTGTTGCCAACCTTTCTCCCGGGAACATCGCCTTTTTTAATCCCCATGACGAATCAATTTTATTCAACGATGTGATCAAAAGGATTACAAACACGTGTGCAAAAGCTCTCAGCCTTATCCAGACCACCAATTAAAAATAACTGATAAGGCTGAGAGATTGTGCACGTGCGCCGATGCTTCTGTTGTGATCGTTTTTTCCATCTTTTGCAGGTTCAAACGCATGTCATCATTTAAAATGTTTACCAAGTATCAAGAACACTCGCTTGTGCAGTGCTGGTGTACGAAACGATGCAATGATGAGCCCAAACACAGACACCCGGTCAGAGCTTCAGGGCCACCGAGCCCGGCGGCGTCTCACCCTCCTGCTGGGCCGCCCCCTTGATGTGGTAGTCCTTGACGGCCACTGGCTGGCCCTGGTAGAGCGCTCTGTAGATGGTTCCACTGGCGCCCTGGCCCAGCTGCAACTCTTCCCTTGGGTCGTAGTCCAGGCTCGCGACGTCCAAGAGCAGCCTAATGGGCAGAGCACGCGTTTACGGTGGCCCTAAGCGACACGCTAATGTGTGCCGTGATGAATGTCTGTCTGCCTCAGCTGCTTCCGTGTCGAATTTCTCAATAACCAAAAGTAATTTAGACACGGCAAGCATCGCCCCCTACCGGCAGCCTACTTCCCACTTGCAGGCCAGGTTCTGCGTCACATTGTGCTGCACAGGGACAGCTGCCACTGGTGGTGCCCCTTACAACTGTGTTGAGATGAGATGCGATGAAAGTCGCTTATGGCGTGGTTCACGCACCAGAGACGCCCGAGCGTCAATGGCGATCTTTAGAAGAAAAAAAACAAATTGTGATGATCATCACCACATGAAACCCTTTTCAATGTTGCTCCTGGCACGGACTCCCTTGCCGAGCGGTGGTCCCACTCCTTGTTGGAGGGTGAACCTCCAGAAGGTGCGAGTGCGTGTCGAGTGCTCGCCGACCGTGGCTCTCGCGGAGGGAGGCAGCGCTCACCGCTTTGGGAAGTCTGTGAGGAACGCCTCTGGGATGAGCCGGGTCAGGGGCACGGGATTGTCCACGTGTCTGTGGCACGCGATCACATCGGACCTCACAGCCTCCATCACGCACTCCTCCAGAGTGAATAACCCTGCAGAGAGAGTTCATCCCGGTTGGTATATTTGCAACGAGTGCAGTGACTGCGACGTGTGCATACGCAGCGACACGTTCGTGGTTGTTCTTGCTCCGATTTCGATTTACTTTCATCGTTGCGCTCAGTTTCAATCTTGTTATCGCATTCATGATTTTGGCGACCCCAGCTCACTCTTACAAATGAGACTCGACGCTGGTCGCTCTCTTGAGTTCCCACCGGGCTAAAGACGATCACCTGGGGTGCAGCGACCGTACCGGGCCTATCGTCCTCGCACTCCCCTCCCTGGCGCTCTCCCTCCCGCGAGTCTGCAGGGCCGGCGCAGTAGGGACAGGGGATGAGCTGCTTGATGAACGGCGTCCCGTTGGTCTCCACATCCATCAGTTCTGGTGTCACACGGAAGAGAACACGCTGCAGTCATTTTGCCTCGACACTTTTAGAATGTCTCCTGTTTACATGCTCGCTGCCACTCTTAGGATATTTTATTGCGTGCCAGGTTGCATGGCGCCTGCGAGGGGCTGGGGGCGACGCCACATGTCTCGGTTCGACCACAAGGGCCTCCGCCCAGCCACGGCCCTGGGCTCGGCGCCAGCGCAGGCCCCGCCTGACCGCGCCGCTCACGCCCAGCGGCGCGGCCTCCACCGCTCCAAACGACGCGGCCCCCGTAGCAACGTCGTGACCACTCGGGAACCATTTCCGTTTTGATGTCGATGCGTTTGATCGTTTGATCGATTCGGCCACAGGGAAGTGAAACTACGCACCCCACGCAGGTAAAAGTATCTTGGAGACTTCCACAATTCCCACGGGCACGGCGGTGCAGCAGAGAAGTAGCCCTGCGTGGAGGTATCTTGACACCCACCGGGGAACCAGTGTTCGATGAGCGTGTTGACGTGGTCCGTGACGAACGCGATGGCAGAGAAGTCCTGCGACTGGGACTGAACCAATATCTCGATGCCGGGATGCTCTCCCGGGTCCCCCCACTGCTTCCCTGCAGCCTCCACGCTGTCCGGGGGCGGGGGGGAAATGGAAAACTAAAAAAACTCACCCCCACACACGGAGCGCGACGGCACCAGCCAACGTTACACAAGCGCCATTGTAACTAATTACGTTTGAAACGTGACATGTTCATTCCAATTAATTGTAATGAAATATAACGTTTGAAAACACGACGGTGCAAAGTTACGTAAAAACCTAACAAATTGACAATTACATTGTTATGATGATAATAATTATTATTTCAACTGGTAATGCGCTGCACACGATATTTTCTCGCTCTCGTAGAGAGAGGCCGACTGAGACAGCACCAACAATTGCCCAATCTCTGCGGTCCTCTACATATGAAGGTGCTATCTGCCAATTAACGATCGTTTACACATGGGAGGAATGCGGAGCACCCAGAGAAGACCCAAGCGTGCGAGGGGGAAACACTCGATCCCATACAAGTGGAGTCCACGTTTCTCCTCCACTGCCTTCTGGCGAGCCAGGGTACGGCTCATCCTCGACGCCCATGGGAAGAGAATGTTGTGAGATTTGTGAGGGGATCCACCAACCCCCACAGCCACCACTGTCTCCTCGTGAGTCAGATGGTCGCTTACGTTTAGCAGCAAAAACTGTGAAGAGTTAATAATCATAGAGAAGCATAGTTCTGATAATATTGCAATCTTGAAGCCAGAAGGTTCTGTGATTATCAGCAAGCAAAGACCTTTACAGTGGTCTTACCAGGATACTCTAGTTTCCTTCCACACGTATCATCAACACACATTAAAGAAGTTGGCCAAACATGACAATATAGGGCCACAGAGCTTGGACAATAGTTAGCCACGCCGGTTCTGGCTGCCTTCCCGCTCGTCCGTGGATGCCCGTGCCCCCGAGTCGAGCGACCGCCACTCGTGATGTACGGCTGTGGCTCTGCTTGTGGCTCTCCTCGAGTCCCCCTGCCGTGAGAGCGAGGGGCGGCGCACCTGAAGAAGCCGTCGCTGTGCAGGATGGCCAGGCCCTCGTGCCAGTAGACCTTGCGCGCTCGGCGAATCCGAAACGTGCTGGCACGGGCATAGCTCACGTCACAGTCGGGGTCTGTGGCCTGCTTCCCCAAAGGCCTCCTTACACCTCCTACCACCTGAAAATGTCAGGAAATATAAAATAAAACTATTAATAATTACAATAATAAAACAATAAAGAAGCAACACAGACAACAGCATCGTTGCTCGCAACATGATTTGATTCGCGACTGTGCTGTCAACATCGCGACGCCATGATAGGATCGACCAATCGGATCTCTCGCAGGGCAGTGCCATCCTTCACGTCAATGAAGACCCACGGAAGCAGATATCACAGAGCTCCTTCTGAGATACTTTTAAGTGACCTCGGCACTACACAGCAATTTTCCACGCCCTCTACATATGAGAGGAATGTTCGTTGTACAGTCATTGATGACCGGGTTGCTAAGACCATTAACCACTACAATTGAGAACCCTGGTCAATCACACGTGGCTGGCTGCCTGCCTGCATTTTGACCCAACGTTTCAGCCGTGCCGATTCGGCGCTCTGAGAAACCTCTCGGAGCAACATAACCACAACAGGACGTCACCGCAAGACGACGTCACCGCAACAGGACGTCACCGCGAGACGACGTCACCGCGAGACAGGGTCACCACGCAACGTTTGGCTCTGCGTCCGCGAGCTGCGCTCGGGAACTGCTGCGCCACCCCGGGCCGGTTCAACGCCGTTGGCTGCGCGTGGCCACGAGCACCTGGCGCTCAATCTGAGCCACGCTGATGAGCAGGCGCGCGATGAGCCGCGACCAGAAGCCCACTGGCGTGAAGCTCATCTGCACGAGGCGGCGGACGGTCATCGTCTTCTTGCCGTCGTCTTCCAACACCGGAAGCAGCTGCAGGCCGGGCCTCTCCGGCATGAGGTGGGGCAGCAGGAAGCTGCAGCAGCAGCAGCAGCGTTCGCAAGGAGCAGGGAGTTGGAAAATCATCATCAGCAAGTAGTCTTAAAATCGGACACAACACTTACATTCCTAGGTGAGAAATCATGGTAAGATTATGTTGTTTGTGTCAGGAACCACAAAGATTTACAAAACAAGCATGTCGCCTGTGATATAATCTGTCCTTCAATTAGTGTCTGTCTCGTGCCGATGTCAAATATCATTCAGGCGTCATCACAGTGCGGGCATTCCTGGGTTCAGTAAGGTATTTAAACAAACCAATGGACAAACATCGAGATGGATAGTTCGTTAGCCTCTACTTATATGTAAGTGTCATAAAATCAATGCAACGATTGTTTAGTGCAGGGCGTTTAAGACGTGACTGAATGATGCAATTGATTTCAAAATAGGTGAAAGCCGCCCGATTTGCACGATCACTTTATGATCAAGCTAAACCTGAGAAACTAGAGCGGGAAATTGATTGAACAATGAAATGTTTGCGAGCGGTCTTCCAATCGTGGCTGCCTTGTTGAGTTTTCGTTGACACTCAAAGTCCACGTGACCGGGGTGGTTCTCCACACACGGACAACGAGGGCACATGACGTGAACGTAGTGGACGCGGGGCTCACGAGGCGACCACCTTCGTGCTGTTCATCCACTTGCGCTCGTCACGAGCCACGGTGCTCAACTTTTACTTTCCTCGCTCTCGCGGCGCACCACCCTGCGTCGGCTCGTGCGAGCGCCCCCCACCCGTGGCGGGCGAGGTGCCCCACCTGTCGTGCTGCAGGGGCAGCATCATCTCGAAGAGCAGCAGCAGCTGCAGGAGCTGCTCCTGGTGCCTCGCGGGAACGCCGGCGGCCGCCAGCGCCGACACGATGGCTTCCCGGGGCCGCGTGGCGCCCTGGCCGGGCCCCGAGCCCACGCCGCGCAGCGTGCCCTCCAGGCAGTGCGCCAGCCAGCCCCCGTGCAGGAAAAGCACCTCTCCCAGGCCCCAGCTGCAGTCCGGGAAGTGCAGCAGCGCCCCCACCTCTGACAGGAACTGCACCGCTGCGGGGGGGGGGGGGGGGGGCGGATGAGGAGGGGGGGGCGTGGAGAGGGGCGCACGCGCTCGGCCAGAGGCGGAGGAACCGCTGCCGTGCCCGCAGTTCCCCATCACTATGCAGCGGCAGCTGCGCCCGCCGGTAACCTAGCGCTGGCGCCGAGGGTTGGTGGATCGCACACGGATGTTGCGGCACTCCCTTCCCGTGGGCGCCGAGGTTCCATACCCTGGCTCGCCGGAGAAAGCGGTACGGCAAGTGAACTAATAACCGTCTGTTTCCATCTGCCCGGGGGATAGAGTGTTGCCCCCTCGCGCGAGACGTGGCGTTTCTCTGGGTGGTCCGGTTCCCTCCCACACGTATAATAAGCACGACGCATCATTAACGGGCTGAAAACATCGCTAAATCAAAACTCAATGAAGCACAACCCTCCTCAAAAAAAGTCCAACGACTCAGCATAGCTTTCTTGGACAAATAAGTAGAAATAATAAAGGTGATTGGTGATCCAGCACTCACAAATTCACTTCGGTCACTCTCTCAGCAGCCGTCAGTCGCCCCCTTATCACTCTCCTACCGCTACGACAGCACGGTGACTGTTCCCGTGACCTTCACTCGTTCATTCCTCCAGCCATGTTGATGGCTCGGCCGACAGACCGACTGCATCTTCTCACCCACACAGTCGGTCACAACAACACTCATTGACTGACCCACTCACCTACTCGATCACCGCAACACTCACCCACTCGCTCACCACACTGAAGATCACGACAACACTCACCCACCCACTCACCCACTCGCTCACCACACTGCAGATCACAGCAACACTCACCCACTCACCCACTCGCTCACCACACTGCAGATCACAACAACACCCACCCACTCACCCACTCGCTCACCACACTGCAGATCACAACAACACCCACCCACTCACCCACTCGCTCACCACACTGCAGATCACAACAACACCCACCCACTCACCCACTCGCTCACCACACTGCAGATCACAACAACACCCACCCACTCACCCACTCGCTCACCACACTGCAGATCACAACAACACTCACCCACTCACCCACTCGCTCACCACACTGCAGATCACAACAACACCCACCCACTCACCCACTCACTCACCGCACTGCAGATCACAACAACACTCACCCACTCACCAACTCGCTCACCACACTGCAGATCACAACAACACCCACCCACTCACCCACTCGCTCACCACACTGCAGATCACAACAACACCCACCCACTCACCCACTCGCTCACCACACTGCAGATCACAACAACACCCACCCACTCACCCACTCGCTCACCGCACTGCAGATCACAACAACACTCACCCACTCACCCACAAGCTCACCACACTGCAGATCACAGCAACACTCACCCACTCACCCACTCGCTCACCACACTGCAGATCACAGCAACACTCACCCACTCACCCACAAGCTCACCACACTGCAGATCACAGCAACACTCACCCACTCACCCACTCGCTCACCACACTGCAGATCACAACAACACCCACCCACTCACCCACTCGCTCACCACACTGCAGATCACAATGCTTCTCTTTCTGCTTCTTCCTTCACGCTGCTCGACATTTGAATTCCCATCATCGTCTCTTTTCCCCCCAAGCTCCTACAATAACAAGACCCTCACTCAATCCGAGACACGTGTTGACTCTTAGCCATGACGTCATTGACAGCGCTCTTTGTTTTCTCCCCCGTGGCATTGCACGACCGAGCCCGAGGGTGGCGGCGATCGCGTCCGTGGTGGAACGTGGCCCCAGCCGGTCACCTCGCTGCAGGTCGTCGTGCGAGTAGGAGAAGTCGTTCCCCGGGGTGCTCTCCGCCAGCGCCCGCAGCTCCTCGCGCGTCAGCACCTGCGGCAGCACCTCCGCCACGCGGCGCTGGCGCTCCGCCTGCACCGCGTCGTGCAGCGCGATGTAGCTCCTGGGCACCTGCGCGGCGCACGGAGGGGCGAGCCACGGTCCATGAACCCGTCTCGTCACCCCGTCTCCGCGGCCTTTGCCCTCTTGGCATATTCCCTCCTTTGGGTGCCATTCCAGCACCAGGCTTGTCTACGTCCCGGCGGCAACGCGGGTTCCGACAAAGCAAAACGCGCTCTGCCCAAGCCGGCTTGCCGGTCAGTTGTTAACCGTCGCTGTGATCCCTCTCATTCGCCTTTCTTCACCGATCCACGCGATCGCTCTCCCCGTCCTCGGGGTCCGTAAGCATCTCCCCGCATCGTATGAGGCTGTCCAGCTCATGCCACGGCTTAAGACGAGAATATGTAAATACAAATCCTGCTGCCCTCCCTCCGCCTCCAAATCCACTCCCCCCGCCCCGCATCACGACGCGAGGAGCGCACGGAACGACGCTGCTACAGCACGAAGAGGAGCGCGACGGAGCGCGACGCGGAGCGCGAGCGGTCTCACCAGGCGCCCCAGGAGCCGCTGGTTGGGAACGGCGCTGCCCCCGTCCTTTATGCCGCACGCCGCCCGGAAGATCAACTTCCGCAGGTCGTCGATGCCAGCGAGAGACTGGCACGACACTTCGCTGGCGCACGCGAGCCGGCAGGAGACAAACATCGCGGCGAGTTATTAAGCAGAATTCTCAGCGCCAAGTCGCATTTACTACGGACCATTCGGATTCGGTCATCCCCGCGCGGTCGTCAGGAAGAGCCACGCTGCTCGGACATTTCCCGCGGCCTCCCTGCCACGCAGCGAGATCCCCCGCGCTTCCGGAATCGTGGAAATCGCCGCAAACGCTGCTGCATGGGCGTTGGCACTCCTGAACATCTGAACGCATCTGCAATCGTCGCGCTCCTCTTCTCCCTCCCCGTCTCCCTTAGAGACCGATTGACCAGATCCCTAAAACAGCGGCCGCCTCCTCCGCCGCCCCACCTCTCCGCCACAAACGATCGAGACGAGGCGTTACGAACCAGATGTGCTTGCAGTCAACGCTGGGGTAGCCGCTCAAGCTCCGGCCACTCGGGTCGCAGCACAAGCTGAGCACGTGGGCCTTGAGGGTGGCCAGCCTCTCGCCCATGAAGCGCTCGGGCAGGCGGTCCAGGTGTGTCCCCACCACGATCACCGCCGCGTGCGGGGCCCGCGCCTGCCAGGGGAGAGACGCTCGCAGTCAGGGCCCGGCTCCAGCTCCGCTCGGGGAGAGGGGGGGAGCCGCTAGAGCCGTCGTGTTGGGGGGGGGGGCACCTTAACAGCGATTCCCACCGTGGTGGTGTCACAGGGACATTTGGTGGTGCAGGGCCCACCCAGCGCCGGCCCTGTTCAGTCGTAGGTGTCTACACTGCATCCGAATAAGTACAGACTCGTGTGGTTAATGCAGACTTGATGCCTGTGTGGTTAACGCAGACTTGATGCAGCCTTGCAATAGGTGTCTGTTTGGCGTGTGAACATCTGAACACCTCCTGCATTACTGCAGAAATGCGTAAAGCCGATTCATCCTTCATCATTTTGACACCGGCAAAAAGGGTCCCACACAGAAGGTGAGAGCGCGAGGGTCGCGGGAAACACGTGACCCTCGTCCAATCCCAAGGCACGGTAGAGGCCCGGCCGACACTCGCCTGGATGGTGAGCAGCCAGTGGTGCAGGCTCAGCACTCCCTCCTCGCCCAGCGCCAGGTTCCACACGAGCAGGTAGAGCGCCCGGTCGGTGCACAGGCAGCGGTGCACGGGCAGCGCGCTCGCCGTGCCGCCCACGTCCCACACCGAGAAGCGGATCTTCTCCACCTGCCCCTCGCCACCGCAGCGCCACCGCAGACACACAGATCCCCCGCGTGGCCTTAGCAGACTGTCGGGGTAAGTGCCGTTAGCGAGCACCCACGACAGGCCGGGACGACGCAAGAGGGGGTGTGCGGCCAGCACCGCGCCTGGCGGCGAAGCAGCGATAGTTTTCTGCGCAAGCAGCGCGGACCGCCGTGTTTCATCTCCACCGGCGTCGCTCCGAGCGGGAAGCGCACCTTGAGGTCGGCGAGGCCCAGGGGCCGCTGCAGGTCCCAGGTGCTGAGCACGATGGGCATGTCGGGGTAGCCGCCCGAGACCGGCGGCGGTGGCGGCTTCCGCCGGTGTCTCAGCGACGAGAGGAGCGACGTCTTCCCCTGGTGCGAGGGGCCGACCACCATGAGCTTGAGGGAGTAGCAGTGCTGCGAGCGGCGCTGCTGGGCCCGCAGGTAGGCCAAGATGGCCGGCGTGCCTGCAGTGGCAACGCGCGCGCGCGGATTTCATAATAATTATAATAATGCAACAGCAAAATACGCGTCGATATAATGACGATAATATTTGTATTTAGAGTTTAACATGCCTCAGAAATTCAAAGTATCTCATCTCAAGCATTGTAAGGGCACCCCTAGCGGCAGTTATCCCTGCGTGGCACGAGGTGACTTCGGCAGCAGCCTGCAAGAGGGCATGAGGGCATAAGTCTGCCAGCAAAGGGGAGGGCGATGATGCCGTGTGTAAAACCAATGGAATATTCCGTTCAAACGTTCACTATACCTTGCAGACAAACATTAAACCAATGTTCTTAGCTAAATGAGATTTTCAGGAAACATCCAACTCTGACAAACGTGCCGAAGGAGGCATTTCTTTGATGTTACGCTCCGAGGGGGGGATGGCTGTTGTGCCACCGCACCGTTGGGGTCACGCAGGAGGTGAGCAGGGACATTGGAGATCTCCAGCTCGTCGATCTCCAGCAGCCACAGGTTGCCGAGGCTGCCCAGCGCGTGCGGCAGCTCGCGGACGCCCGGGTTCCTGCATCACCACGGTTACCATCACCACGGTTACCATCACCATGGTTACCATCACCACGAGAGCTGGGAACACGCGCAGCGTCTCCTCCCCACAACCTCAAGCCACTCCACGGCAGAGGCACCCGGCTGGGCAGTCGCCTTCCCACTTAGTTCCCGTCCAGCTCCTTGTGGCCTGGGTGAGATCCCTCCGCCTCCTCCTCCTCGTCGCCCCTCCTTGGCCCTGTCCCTCCTCCCGCTGTCCCACGTCAGCTTCACCGTTTCTTTTACGCGTCACCTTTCTTTGTTGACACCCGACGATGATGACGATGATGCTGCTGCTGGATGTAATCACCAGCGAAACGTCGTACAACAACATTGGCACTGGTTTGCTTGCGTTTCAACGCTCTTATCCTGGTTTGTGCTGAAATAAACAAATCAATTGTCACCTTTGCTCATGAGACAACTTGATTTGACTTACTATCGGGTAGTGGACGGCTACAAGTAAAAATTCACACTACACCTACACGACGATTGAACTCTAAAGAACTTAGTGATGACTCATCGTCGCCTTTGTGTTTGAGATGAGTTTTCACCGCGTCAACCCATCTGCGGTTCCTCCTTACGCTTCCAAGTCGCTCTCTCTCCACGACTCACTCTCTCTCTGGTCGCTCTCTCTCTATGAGTCCCTCTCTGCACACTTGCGAGAGAGAACTGGGCGGTGCCGGTGCGTTCAAAGATGACATCACAATTGTGTTAGACGTAAACGCTAGCTGACAACCTGCGGGGCACACCTGGAGAGGTAGAGCTCCTGCAAAGCGAGGAGGGAGCCGATGGAAGAAGGAACGCTGTCCAAAAAGTTGCTGCTCAGGTTGAGGGCTTCCAGCGTGCTCCCCAGAAAGTCCGGTAAGTCCAGAAGCACACCTGCAAAGCGCACAAAAGCATCACAATGGACACGGCTGTCGCGATTCGACGATTCACCAATTAAAATCGATTCTTACATTCACAACATGTGCCACATTGTGCATCTGCAAATCAGTTGTTTCCCAATCATGTGCCGTATGCAAACTGCGAATGGACACACTGCAGCCACTTTAGATTCTCCCTGCACGACATTCGTGGCCTTAAAATATATATAAATATATAAATACTCAATAGGCGACGTTTCAGACAATGGCCCTTCTTCATAGTGCACAGAGAGGCCAGAGACATAGAGCCAATCACAAATAAAATTATCGTCCCATACATATTGTGGCAAAGTAACTACGCAGACGATACATCTCCTTCACACGGCCATCCCTCCACACATCCCATCGACCGCATGGCCGTCTGGGAAGAGGTGGTTCGTTACGTCCGTACAAGAAAATGCCTTCCAGCGTCACTGAGACCTCTGCGTGTCAAAAACGGATTCTACATCTCCACTCTTTGACACGCATCTGAAAGAAGTCTTTGTTGTTCATGGCAGCGCCATTGTAAACGTCGAGAGACGACGGCCACACGGGACGGCGCTAGCCGGGACCCCTCGAGGAGCGCTGGGATCCAGCAAATCGTGGCGAGGGCAATTCCTGGATCCCCCTCAGCTTAGTTCACGAAGCAGATTAGCAACGTAAATATCATAGCCACTTGAAGCTACGTTAGCTACGGTGTCTGCTGCTGCTGCTGCTGTTGGGCGATGCTCACACCTTCCGTTGGGTGTCTCAGCTTCCTGGTGATGAACGCGACGAGCCGGTTCCTGCTCCCGCTGCCGCCGCTGCCGCTGCCCCTGCTGCCGGAGTTCACCGCCACGGCAGAGATCAACGCTGGGTCACGTTCACCGCCACGGCTAAAGCAGGACGCACCACCGCGGTCCGGCCTTCCACCGCTAACCGGCCGCGGCGAGCGAGCGAGGGTTGAACGCTTCCCGGCGCTCGCCGCTCGTTGGAGAGGTCCATGGTTGGAATCCGGCGGTCCGCGCCGGTTTTTGGCGTGGAACACGTAAACCGAACACGACTCCGCACCGCCGTCCACTTCACAGCGGCAGCAGCAGCAGCAGCAGGCACCATCGGTGCCTGCTGCTGCTGCTGCCACACAAAACTGTGGTTGCCTTATAATAAGTTAGTACAATGGTTTTGGCACTACTAGAATAGAACCTTAATACTACAGTGCATGCATAAAGGGCTGAAGAAGAATTACAGCATTCCTCTCTACCAGTTTTCTTTCTTTGTTTTTTTGCAAATGCCCTTGACGTTAAATTATTAATTGAGGTGACTCGTGAGGGTTTATGGATCTGTGTACGAGTCTACGGGTCTCTGTGTGAGTCTATGGGTCTGTGTGTGAGTCTACGAGTCCCTGTGTGAGTCTACGGGTTCTGTGCAAGTGTACAGGTCTCTGTGCGAGTCTACGGGTGTCTGAGTGATCGCATGTCCACTGTGAGTCTATGGCTCTCTGTGTGAACTCTGTCAACGTTCTCTGAGGGCACGAGTGGTTCACACTCCGTGCGCTCTGAAGCCAGCAGCTGGATTCACAACTTGGACATCGGGTTTGAGTCGCTACTCAACTCAAATGAATAAAGGGGAAGCAGCGGCAGCACACCTGAACAAAGATGGTTGCTTGCCAATGTAGTTTTGTGACAAGTCGAGGGTCTGCAGCTTGCAGCACGTCCACATCCGCGCAGGAGGAATGACCAGCAGATGATTATCAGAGAGATTCAAACTCTGCAACTCCTGTGCACAAATGTTGGACAGTGGGGAAATGATTATCCGACATGCAGCAGGCTCCCGCAACCAATGTCACAATTCATAATTGATCTTTGGGTCGGATCGCCTCAGTACAATGTCTGTCGTACACCCTCCTCCACCCGACATGGTCGATTAATATAGGTGCCACGTGATGAAGAATCGTGGTCGGTGTATTGCCGCTTCAGCAGCAACACCACCGATGTGGCGTTGGAGAGCGCACGGCGTTTAACGCCATACCGGCGGCACTACTCCTCCTGGCGCAGTCGGGGTGATTGGTGATCCTGCACTCACCGATTCACTCCGCCCACCTCACTCACCGGCGGTCAGCCGCCTCATTATCACACTTCTACCACTACAACTAGCTTGATTGCCGTTCCCGTGAACCTCACTCGTTGATTCCTCCACCCTCGGTTCTACCAGACACCGACTGTGTCGTCTCATCCACCACACTGAGAGTCACAAATCACCCACTCACCACACTGCAGGTCACAATCACCCACTCACACACCAACTCACCCACCCACCCACTCACTCACCACACTGTGGGTCACACCCACCCACGCACCTACTCACCCACCCACTCACCCACCCACTCACCCACTCACCCACCCACCCACTCGCCACACTGCGGGTCACAGCCACACACCCACCCACCCACTCACCCACCCACCCACCCACTCACCCACCCACTCACCCACTCACCCACTCACCCACCCACTCACCCACTCGCCCACTCACCCACCCACCCACGCACCCACTCGCCCACTCACTCACCCACCCACTCACCACTCACCCACTCACCCACCCACTCACCCACTCACCCACTCACCCACCCACTCACCCACTCACTCACCCACTCACCCACCCACTCACCCACCCACTCACTCAACCACCCGCCCACTCACCCACTCACTCACCACACTGTGGGTCACACCCACCCACTCACCTACTCACCCACCCACTCACCCACTCACCCACCCACCCACTCGCCACACTGCGGGTCACAGCCACACACCCACCCACCCACTCACCCACCCACCCACTCACCCACTCACCCACTCACCCACCCACTCACCCACTCCCCCACTCGCCCACCCACTCACCCACTCGCCCACTCACCCACCCACCCACTCACCCACGCACCCACGCACCCACGCACCCACTCGCCCACTCACTCACCCACTGACCCACCCACTCACCCACTCACCCACTCACCCACTCACACACCCACTCACCCACTCACCCACCCACTCACCCACCCACCCACTCACCCACCCACCCACTCACCCACTCACCCACTCACCCACCCACCCACTCACCCACCCACTCACCCACCCACCCACCCACTCACTCGCCACACTGCGGGTCACAGCGCTTCTCTTTCTGCTTCTTTCCTCGCACCGCTCCACTTTGTGATTCCCTCCCATTCGTCTCTTTCCCCCCAAGCGCTCACAATAACCTCGGTTCAATTTCACGAAACGCGTCACACTCTCTCTTCTCCGTGACAACTCTGACGGCGCTGTTTGTCTCTGGCCGCTTGGCGTTTCGGGCCGTCGGGCGGCGCGTTGCTCGTCGGGGCCACACCGTGAGCTGCAGGATGGCCGCCGGGAGCTCGGCGAGGGCGTTGTTGCTGAGGTCGAGCTCCTGCAGGGTGCTCTCCCAGTGCAGCTGGAAGCTCTCCCCAATCTCCTCCAGCTGGTTGTGAGTCGCCTTCAGTTGCACCTGCGCGTGGATAACGGGAGACGACTCCTCATTGGCAAGGGAGACGTACGACGATTCCTCGTTGATACCTGGGATAGGCCCCGTCATGATCCGGGCCAATTTTTGTCGTGTGAACCCTCCACCACCCGATGTAAAGCCGAACAAGTGAAGGTCAAAAAACCTGAAAGTCCCTGTTCTGACCAGAAGAAGCTCGAGGCGGTTGAGCGGCGCGTCGAATCCAATCGCAAAATGGCGGTGGTGAGAATCGTCGTCTCGTGTCTCACGTCTCGTGTTTCGCCTCTCGTGTCTCACGTCTCGTGTCTCACGCCTCGTGTCTCGCGTCTCACGTCTCGTGTCACGTGTCTCGCGTCTCGTGTCTCGCGTCTCGTGTCTCGCGTCTCACGTCTCGTGTCACGTGTCTCGCGTCGCGTGTCTCGCGTCTCGTGTCTCGCGTCTCACGTCTCGTGTCACGTGTCTCGCGTCTCGTGTCTCGCGTCTCACGTCTCGTGTCACGTGTCTCGCTCGTCTCGTGTCTCACGTCTCGTGTCTCGTGTTTTGTGTTTCGTGTCCCACACCTCGTGTCTCACGTCTCGTGTCTCTCGTCTCACGTCTCACGTCTCGTGTCTCACGCCTTGTGTCTCGTGTCTCGTGTCACGTGTCTCGTGTCTCACGCCTTGTTTCTCGTGTCACGTGTCTCGTGTCTCTCGTCTCGTGTCTCGTGTCTCGTGTCTCGCGTCGCGTATGACGGACGCCGAAGTGGTGACGCACCAGCGGACAGTGCCACGCCGGCGGGAATGCCTTGAGCTGATTGTGAGACACGTTGAGGCAGCGCAGTCCGTTGAGGAGCTGCAGGACTTCCTTGCGCAGCCCCCCCAGCTGATTGTACGACAGGTTCAGCACCTCCAGGTCTCGGCACTGCACCAGCCCCAGGGCTGCGCTCACACACGGCAGGCACGTCCCACGAGGCACCTCGAACCAACACGCGACGCGCATCATCATCATCGATGGGCCACCATCGATCCCCTTCTGGATGAAGGCGCCCCAAAGCTGCCCGCCACCTCCCGTTGCGCTGCGAAGAGCTTCTCGTGATCGTCAGACCGAGAGGCCAATGGCCACGTTGTGAAGGAGAGCCTGGGATCCAGTGCTGCCACTGAATAACTCAGTGGAGTCCACATTCACTTACGAGACAAACATTTCACAGTCAGCCGAAAAAATTATGATCGATGATACATTTTCTTCTGCTTGTTTACCCAGAAAAGCCTCACTGAGTCTCAAGACACTTTTTTCAGGAGAGTCCTGCCAAGTTTTCACAGGAAGGGGGAGGGTGGGGGCGATATTGCTGCTGTGCAATCCAAATTGAGTAATTTGCAAGTACAGTAATTGTGTGTTTTAGTATTGTCATATTGGACAATACCAGCTACATTGTATGAAAGAGACTCGAGTTGGGAGTTGAACCCACACCCCCCGTCTTGGTGCGAGGCACGAGAGTCCGCACTGCGTCACCCTGCCGCCCTCCCTGGCGTGGACGCTGATGTTGACTCTGCGGCTACTCCCGGAGCTGTAACCCACTGTGTGCATCACCTGCTCTCTCGGGGCAGCCAAACTCGCTCAGCTGATTGTGGGAGAGGTTCAGAGTCTTGAGGTTGGTCAGCAGGAACACCTCAGCAGGCAGGGAGAAGATGCAATTCATGGAGAGGTTGATTTCGGTCAACCTAGCCAATAGTGGTGCACAAGGTGATTCGGGAAAAAGAAACGTGAAGTTAGATCAATCTTTAAATTATTACACTTCATCGAGAAGTCATCCACTACTCCCCTTACCCAACTCCCCATCCCTCTTGACCCTGCTGAGCCACGGGATATCACAACCAATGTCACACCACACGGACGCCCGCTCCACACCCCGCGAGCATGGCCACCCCTCTCCCTCCCCGCCGCCCGCACCCCGAAGCCGCATTAACTCTGAGAAGCGCCATTCCTCTGCGTCATTCGTTGAACTTAATGCTCTCGAGTGACCTGGGACGACCAGGCAGCGTTCATTAAAACGTCTCTCATATCCCCCCGAGAGCGATGAATTCACAGCGAAGACGGCGCACGTCCCCAGGATCCCTCACCCAGTGCAGAAGATCTGCTGAGGTGTAACGCTGGGGAAACACGTCAGCTGATTGGAGGAGGCGTCGAAAGTGCGGAGCATTTTCAGACCCCATGGCACCAAGGGCGGAAGTTCCTCCAGAAGGTTTTGAGACAAGTCCATCTCGACGAGGCTCTGGCTGATTTCAGCAATCCAGGAGATCTTCAGATTCTGCAGTTTCAAGCGCGACCATTTCACCACCAAGCCCTGAAAGTGAAAATAAATGAGCACGTCAAAACGCGATCCAGTTATTTACTTCAAAGGATATGTCAACATAATTATCAAGCATTCCAAATGTACCACACGTCCCACACTGCTTGGATGTTGACGCTTTTTCAGGAATGTCCTGCATTGGGATGTTTGGCCGATGGGAACCGAAGAACCCGGAAGAAACCCGCACAGCACAGGGGGAGAACATAAAGACACCACACAGAGAGACACACAGAGAGACACCACACGGAGAGACACCACACAGAAAGACGCACGAGTCAGGAATCGTAAAGCCCGATGTTTATAAAGTCGGCAATGGCCCTTGCTTGAAGTGTTATTTTGGTCATTTCATGCTGCTACGCTGTGCAAGAGTAACGTTTCATTTCCCATCACATTGTTCGGAGTGCAACAGGACCGTCAGCTGTTTTTTCGCAGCGTCCCTGAGCAATGACGCGCACCGTCACGGTACGGCCCGGCCCGGCACACAAACTATAACTCGCAAGGCATGACTTGCATTTTACTCGTGAAGATATCAACGTTTATAAAAGAATATATCTTTAACAACAGCTGCAGACATAACTGCGTGGCTATTACAACTTTGACGGTGCCGTTTGTTGCTGGCCCTTCCACGTTTCGGTCCTTTGAGGCTGCGCTCAGCGACTGCGTCGACTTGTTTCAACTCGTTCTGCAGTGCTCTCGCCAAAGCAGGATCTCGCAAAAGACTGCAGTTTGTGTTATTTTTTTACATTCATAAAAACGTGCACATCGACTTCCCCTTGGCAATCCACTACTGAATGACGACTTCTTCACTCCGGGAGGGTCATGTGAGTTATTTGACCATACTTCACCACGCTGGTCAGTAGGGGCTGGTGAAGGCGGGGAGCGCAGATGCAGTATAGTGTACGGTACAACAATGTGCTGCGCTGCAATGCCGTTCCTGCTGCCCAAAACGGAGCTAGCGCAGCTTGTTTACCCCCCGGTGCTCGCCCATCCAAGTCCCATCCAGGCTCCACCCTGCTGAGTTGCGAACTGTTATGGAGTGGGCCACGTGGCGGGCCCAATTAGTCAAAGGTCGTGCGTTAAGGTCACCTCCACGATTGATTCTTTAAATGTCTCGGCTGGTATGTATCTCTTGGGCTCTAGCTGTACAGTTTCATGCTTGTAAAGCTCACCGGCTGGCAGAGTTTGTGAATGCGTCTCAGCGAATTAAATAAACGGCAGCCAATTAAACTTAAGTTACCGTGGCAGGGCTCGATTTTCCCTTCGTAACCGGAAATGTTTTACTGCAGGTGGCCGTTACAAATGTTGTGTACTCTTGTTAATTTTCAAAAAAAGAAAATACTTCCCCTGGCACCGTAACAGTGAAATGTGCAAATCCGCTGAGCCGACAAGTGGCTCAATGGGCTACGCAGCGAGCTGCCGTGTCCCACCCATTTTAGAAACGTCGGATTTTTGTTCACAGCACTGTATATGGGTGCGACAGCATTCGTAGCCTGTGAAATCAACGAATGTCGTGCGATCATCCTCACTTGTTGCAATGGCAAACGCATTTCTAACTTCAAACGGACACGTTGAGGGAGGTATTGACACACAGAGGGAAACCCATCAAACCCTCGATTGTAACATCTACCCGGGATCGTCTCTCGTATCCGCAATGCCAGAGAAGATCCCCGGCAAGGATTATTCATTATCGTGAAGCTCGCCACGAGACGTAGAAGCGTGTGCAATCTGAATGTGGGCTCGTGGCGGGCATGGCCCTGCAGGGAAGGTCGACGCTTTTGCCTCCCTCGTCTGGTGACGGCCAAGAGGTCAGGGCCCTTGACCAAGCTCCGTGCCTTCGGTCGTTTGCGGGACTTACATTTTCTTCGTCACCATCGATCTCCGACGCACGATCAGAGGCATCTTCCGCCACGGACGCCTCCTCCTCCTCCTCCAGTGGAGCCGCCATCCCCGGCTCGGCGTTCATCCTCACGTCGCCCGCCGAGGCCATGGCCTTGCGATGCGCAGCAGCTCCAGCCGCAGTAGCCTCCAGCTCGGCTGTGAGACACGAGGCCGTCACCAATCAGACTAAAATCAATGCAGAGATATTCGCAGCCAATCATTCATAATTATGATTTTTGAGTTAGGGGATGTGATGATTTGGCCAAATTTCTGTAGTTAAGACCCTACGCCACTCGACACAGCAACACACACAAAATACAAGTACATTTCTTAACACATCCCATCAGCCAAACAGCGTTCCGGGCAGCGCGCAACCCCACGGAGCGGCAGGCAGCATCGTAAATCTCCGGGCCGGGTTAGACGCTCAACGTCTCATCGGCAGGGTCAGTCAGGCCCGCTTGAGCCAAGCGTGGAGGGGTGCGTCTGTGAAGGGGACTTGGGGTCTGGCGTCAGCCGGGGGCAACGGCAAAGCGCCGAGGGCACCTCGAGGGGTCCCTCCAGGTGCCTGCACTTCCCGCGGGAGCGGACGTGGCGACGCATCCCGCCGCACCTCTGCACCGAGAGAGAAGCAGCCGTGAACTGTGGCGGGAGGGGTGTGCCTAGGGCAGTGGTTCTTCTTCACCTTGACTGCAGCCTGGCACCCCCTTGGTTTGCATTCTGACCACAAGCATTGTGGTTAACGCAGACATGATTCCTTGTAAAAGGTTTCAGTTTGGTGTTTTAACATCTTAACACCTGTTTTGTTGCCAGAAAGAACTGGGAAAACCTATTATCAATGTATAATGTTATTAAATACGTAGGGTTAATGAAACAAAGTAAGTTGCAACTTGACGTGCCCCGTGATCAATTTGTGTTTAGATTATTTACCTTCTCAAAACCTCTGTCGTGTCTCGCTGCCCCAGGCGGTGCGTGCGCCCCAGGCTGAGAAGAAGAAGAGCCGCTGGCCTCGAGTGACGGTGGCACGCAGCTGCGGCCAGCTGCAACACGACGCGTGGGACGCACGAGAGCTCCCTTCAGACGTGGCCCTACTGCGGTGTAACGAGTAACAGCACAGGCGGCGTTCACTCAGCGCCAACAGCTCCACCCTGGCAGGGCGAGGGGTTGGTGCTGCGGCGCCAGTGGTGCCCCAGCGCAGAGAACAGACTCGTCACGCGCCAGGGCCGCCGTGTCACTACAGCCGTCACGTCAACTCCTCGCAGCAGCAGCAACACGCGACTCTCACCTGTGTCTCACAACTACAGCAGCAGCACGCGACTCTCACCTGTGACTCACAACAACAGCAGCACCACGCGACTCTCACCTGTGTCTCACAACAACAGCAGCAGCACGCGACTCTCACCTGTGTCTCACAACAACAGCAGCAGCACGCGACTCTCACCTGTGACTCACAACAACAGCAGCAGCACGCGACTCTCACCTGTGTCTCACAACAACAGCAGCAGCACGCGACTCTCACCTGTGTCTCACAACAACAGCAGCAGCACGCGACTCTCACCTGTGTCTCACAACAACAGCAGCAGCACGCGACTCTCACCTGTGTCTCACAACTACAGCAGCAGCACGCGACTCTCACCTGTGACTCACAACTACAGCAGCAGCACGTGACCCTCACCTGTGAGACGCAGCTTTACCCGCGTCTCGACATCGCGAGCCGCATCTCCCGCGTGGCTCGCTGGCGCGGGGCGGATTACTTCACCAGGTCCTCCATCCTCCTCCTCCTCCACACGCGACACCTCGAGACTGCGAGTGGACGACGGTCCGCTCCCCTCCACCACCGAGTTCCACCACCGAGTTCCACCCCGTCCTGTGTCACGGCTCTCGGCGACCGTCTGCGCTGCGGGGAGAGGCCGAGTGATGGGCCGACATGGTGGTGGTGGGTGGTGGTGGTGATGCAGAAGAGAAAGGGGAAGTCCAAAGGGCTGCAACTGCTGCATCCTGGACAGCGACTTCCCCATTGCACCCCCCCCCCCCTCGCGTTGTGGGTACAGTGTCAGACATTCTGCCCACCGGATGGGAAACCGGTTTCGCCGTTCATTTGCCGCACGTGCTGATCGAAATGTCTCCGAGCGAGTGTCACAAGTTTTACCGAAAAGGTTCTGTAATAATGAGGGAGGGGGTCGTGATGGGAGTTGGGGAATGGGAGAGGGGGGCACCTCGTGGCCGGCTGGGGAGCTCCGTGCGCTGCTGCTGCTGCTCGTGGAGTGCAAACCCCGGGGTGGAACGGACGGGGGAGCGGAACGGACGAAGCCGACCTGCTGCGTGACGCCACCACACCAACTATTTGCTGCAATAGAATACCTTTCTATGGAACCTTTTTGGCCGTATCAAATTCATGAAACAAACAAGAGCATTACAACATATAAGAGTATTTTCCCCCCTTTCTGGCAATAAAATAGGTGTTAAGATGTTCAAACACCAAACTGTATTGGTGCTTGCCAGCGTGTTTGTGTCTATGGTGTATTGCCATAACTATTTATTTTATCACTCGCGTGCAATTAGCGGTAGAACAGATGGACAGACGACAACTGAGTTTGGCAGCAGCGTTCATGAAATACACTTTGCGCTGCAGTATTGCAATGTAAACACTTGTGTGTGTGCTGTGCACTCTATGAACATGACCTGCAGATCGGAATTATTCCCGTAATTGCTTCGATTCTGCTCAGTAGTGTGGTTATGCTTTTTTATAGCTTTTGTTAAAAATGTATTAAACAATTCACGTTTAAAGTTAATATACGCGAGTTATATTAACTTCCTTAGCCAACCGATCGTCGCGGTTGGCTACGTACGGTGCGAAATAAATTCAACGTAAGTAATAGCGGTCACTTTTAATAATGTTCGAGAAGCAGCAAATATAAATTACGGGTGGTATTGCAGTAAATCTGAAATATTCAATCGAAAAATTGTTCAGCTCATGATTATTAATGTGGGGGGGGGTGCCCCATGTGGCGTGACGTCACACGCGGGACGGACAGACATTTCTTGGTGACTATAGGAGATGATCTTACACATTTAGGCACGTTAATACGGGGCCATAGTCACCTCAGGAGGAGGAGGTGGAGATGGTGGTGGTGGAAGAGGAGGTGGAGGTGGTGGTGGTCGTGGAAGAAGAGGAGGTGGTGGTGGTGGAAGAGGAGGTGATGGTGGTGGTGGTGGAAGAGGAGGAGGTGGTGGAGGAGGTGGAGGTGGTGGTGGAGGAAGCGGAGGAGGGCGACTCGCATCTGTACCGGGCAGCGTGCAGGGGGCAGCAGCGGGCAAGCCTGGAGGGCCTTGCTCGGGCACTCCCCCACGCGCCCGCAACACAAGCACACTACCACACCCATCACACACAACCACACTCATCATACACAACCACACTCATCATACACAACCACACTCATCACACCCATCATACACAACCACACCCATCATACACAACCACACTCATCACACCCATCATACACAACCACACTCATTATACACAACCACACTCATCATACACAACCACACTCATCACACCCATCATACACAACCACACTCATTATACACAACCACACTCATCACACACAACCACACTCATCATACACAACCACACTCATCACACCCATCATACACAACCACACCCATCATACACAACCACACTCATCACACCCATCATACACAACCACACTCATTATACACAACCACACTCATCACACACAACCACACTCATCATACACAACCACACTCATCACACCCATCATACACAACCACACCCATCATACACAACCACACTCATCACACCCATCATACACAACCACACTCATTATACACAACCACACCCATCACACACAACCACACTCATCATACACAACCACAGTCATCAAACCCATCACACACAACCACTTATCACACTCATGATACCCATCACACACCATCTCACTCATTCCCATTACACACCCATCATACACCAGAGCGGGATGTTTTGTAATCTTTCCCAAACCTTTTTTTAAACTATTCAACTGCCGATCTCGGAGCTGGACACTGCCATTCTCGAGCTGCGTGTTCAGCCTCACGCTCATTTGGTTGCTTCGGCGTTTAACAGTTTTCGATGTAAACTCTCAAGTCCCCCGTGCTGCTGCTTTGCTACTGCCACGGCTACCTGCCGGCATCACGCTGTCGCCCCCACGGGCAATGAAGACGCCACGCTGCTGCCGCTGCTGCTGCCGCTGCTGCTGCAGCAAGTGGCCCCTGGCTTGGACGAGCTCACAGGCAGCGATTCCCAGACGTGGCGCTGCGAGGCGCGCTGCCTCCGCGCGAGTTCAGCCCCCCCCCCCCGCCCAGAGGCCGTGACGCCAGGGGGTCTGCTGGGGATAAACAAGAGCCAGCTGCCATCGCCTGATGCCAGCAATGCGCAGCAGCAGCATCGCCATCGTCGGTGGTGTCACCATTGCCCGTGGGGGTGACTGCGAGAGCACCGCGAGTCCACGAGGCGCGTGCGTCACCACGCGCCTCGTGGCAGGCCGGGAGAGCCAGTTCGCACGCGCGCTCAGGGGTGGCAGCGTGCCCGTGTGTGTCACGTGAGCGTGCCCGTGTGTGGTCACGTGAGCGTGCCCGTGTGTGTCACGTGAGCGTGCCCGTGTGTGGTCACGTGAGCGTGCCCGTGTGTGGTCACGTGAGCGTGCCCGTGTGTGTCACGTGAGCGTGCCCGTGTGTGTCACGTGAGCGTGCCCGTGTGTGTCACGTGAGCGTGCCCGTGTGTGTCACGTGAGCGTGCCCGTGTGTGGTCACGTGAGCGTGCCCGTGTGTGTCACGTGAGCGTGCCCGTGTGTGTCACGTGAGCGTGCCCGTGTGTGGTCACGTGAGCGTGCCCGTGTGTGTCACGTGAGCGTGCCCGTGTGTGGTCACGTGAGCGTGCCCGTGTGTGGTCACGTGAGCGTGCCCGTGTGTGGTCACGTGAGCGTGCCCGTGTGTGGTCACGTGAGCGTGCCCGTGTGTGGTCACGTGAGCGTGCCCGTGTGTGGTCACGTGAGCGTGCCCGTGTGTGTCACGTGAGCGTGCCCGTGTGTGGTCACGTGAGCGTGCCCGTGTGTGTCACGTGAGCGTGCCCGTGTGTGGTCACGTGAGCGTGCCCGTGTGTGTCACGTGAGCGTGCCCGTGTGTGTCACGTGAGCGTGCCCGTGTGTGTCACGTGAGCGTGCCCGTGTGTGTCACGTGAGCGTGCCCGTGTGTGTCACGTGAGCGTGCCCGTGTGTGGTCACGTGAGCGTGCCCGTGTGTGGTCACGTGAGCGTGCCCGTGTGTGTCACGTGAGCGTGCCCGTGTGTGTCACGTGAGCGTGCCCGTGTGTGGTCACGTGAGCGTGCCCGTGTGTGTCACGTGAGCGTGCTCGTGTGTGGTCACGTGAGCGTGCCCGTGTGTGTCACGTGAGCGTGCCCGTGTGGTCACGTGAGCGTGCCCGTGTGTGTCACGTGAGCGTGCCCGTGTGTGTCACGTGAGCGTGCCCGTGTGTGGTCACGTGAGCATGCCCCCAGGCCGCTCTTCTGGCAATGCCAGCTTGACACATTGGCGCTCGCTAACCGCATGAGCTGGTCGTCTTGGACGCGAATACGACGACTTGTGTTTGGCAGCAGCAGCGGCGGCAGCGGCTCTCTGGCAATCAATATCCGTGAGTGGTCCCGCATCAGCGCTGGCGAGGTCACACATTGTCGAGGTGTGACACCACCAGAGGGCCCACGGTGCCTCTCGCCCTTCGGCCCCAGTGAGTGGCCCGTACCGCGCCCACGCGGCCCACGCGGCCCACGCCACCTCTCGTGCCCGTGAGTCTCGTCACCTCTGATGGGCAGTGCACAGCAGCGAGCCGCCTCAACAACCACACTACAGAGTGGGAGGCTCGGCCGGCCGGCCGGCCGGGCTGGGTGGGTGGGTGGTGATCACGAAGCGTGCGGAAATCCTCACGGCCCCATCACCGCCCCCGTGGGGATCTTTCGCCTTCCATCAATTGACTATTACTTCTTTAAAGCCACCTTAAAATCACCGTGTGTGTACCCCCTACATCCACTACCCTGCATTGAAGTATCAAAACAATGCCAGTAAAATGGTAATTCCGTAAATATACAACCATGCGTATTGTAGCACATTTCATTTCCATCTGTAAATGTCAGGCTCAACAGGTGACTTGTGAAGATGTTTTGTTTTACTCAATGCCATGACTATAGCATTGCCATTACGACGAGTGGAAGTGAATCCCCTAAAACGAACGCAGCGGGGATTTGGGGTTCTCACTTCAGTAAGAGGCGGGCTTAGCGAGTCGCACGATAACGCGTTGAGTGTCCAGCTGGTGAAGGGTAAGTGTTAGTGAACGAGTGGTGAGCTGGTGCTTGAGAGTGTCGGTGAGCGTTTATGAGCGGTGCGTGTTGAGCAGTGTGCATGGTGAGTGAGTGGCGAGTGCCGGTCCATGGTGAGCATGTTTAAACAGTGCTGGTGAATGGTGAGTGAGTGGCGAGTGCTGGTGAGTATGTTTAAACAGTGCTGGTCAATGGTGGTGAGTGGCCGTGAGCGCTGCAGGCGACTATGAGTGAGAGGTGTTCTTGAGGGGTGAGCGTTGGTGAGCGGTGTGACCTCACCCTGCACCCCCCCCCTACCCCCGGTCTGCGTGCTGTCACCCTTCCCTGTGGCACCGCCACGCAGCCACCCGCCCTGACCAGTAACAACAGCACCACCACCATCAGCACCACCACCATCAGAACCACCACCACCATCAGCACCACCACCACGGGGGCTCTCTCATACTCCGGCACCATCAGCACCACCATCAGCACCACGATCAGCACCATCAGCACCATCAGCACCACCATCAGCAACATCAGCACCACCACCATCAGCAACATCAGCACCACCACCACCACGGGGGCTCTCTCATACTCCGGCACCATCAGCACCACCATCAGCACCACCATCAGCACCATCAGCACCACCACCATCAGCACCACCACCATCAGCAACATCAGCACCACCACCACCACGGGGGCTCTCTCGCACTCCAGCAGCATCATCAGCATCATCATCAGCATCATCAGCAGCAGCCTGCACACAGTGTCCTGGCACACCGCGTGTGATCCTGCGGGAGCCGCTCATCGTGTCCCGTCGCACAACAACAACAACGACGCCACTGAAGGCTGCGCGTCAACATGGATATCGTGACTCAGCACAGGATGTATCTCGCCGTTTGGTGACATGGCAGCTGTGTTTGACAGGACTGTTATGTCCGTGAAATGTCGTAGAGTTAAATCTAAATGTTAATGAGTAATGTTAGATAGTGACGTCGTTCAGGCAAATCGCATCTCAGATCGGATTGTTCTGATTCTCACAACGGGTGGCGATGTCGGCCACGAGCTGCCGTGCCACTGTGATAGCCGCACTCTCTCGCTGAGAGCTCCTACCGAGACTCCAACTGCGACTCACTGCCAGCACCGATACAAATCAATGGACATTCATGAAGTGCCGACTCCCGTCAGCTTTAAAAGGCCCTGTGATGTATTCCTCCTGTGTCGAGTTTAACTCGTTAATGTTTGTGGCGTCAAAGATCCACTTCCACCATCCTTCCCGTCTCTAACTCACCTATTTTGCACACGTGTGAAAATAGTAGAAACAACTATTCAAGTAGAACTCTGCTTATCTCTCAGTCTTTTATCTCAAAGGCCAGCCGATCCACATTCTACCGTTATCCCCAACACATTGTAGATGTGTGGTCTAGATGATGGGAAGTGCAAGTGCCTTGCCGTGGACACAATATCTCAGCGGCTGCAGTGAGGTCCCTGCGGCATCCTGCCGTGGGCTCACGCGGCAGACTCCGAGTCGTGCACGTGGCACACAGGACGCGGAGCTGTGCTCTTCCTCGACCCTCTCATCTGCGGCTCCTCTCATCTGCGTCCAGCATCGATCTGCGGAAGGCTTTGTCATCCGCTGATGGAGGACTCCTATTTGCCGCAGTAGATGGTATAACTTGTACAAATATATTTTATAGCACGCTACCAAATCTAGCAGCTGTGCAAATGTGTACTTGTTTTCAGAGTGGCCAAACTAAGCCGGGCCCCACTACGCTTTGAAAGTGCGGAGTGAATCTCCCGTGTAAGTACTGCTTCAATGCAGCAGCAGCAGTACGCGAGTCTTATTCAACTATCCATAACGCCCGGGTTGAGCTCCCCATGTATTTGCATGATGCAGATAATTAACCTTTGATGTTTGGGTCATGCTTTGTGATATTTGTACGAAGACGTCTCCAGGGCCGCCCCACTCCGTCAATCCTTGTGGGTGCCACGCTGTGATGACGACACCTTCCCAGGTCTGGAGCAACGCTTCCCTATTCCACTCGAATTCACGTCACAGCGCTTCCTCCGTCACCCACCAGCGTCATTATTTCGACATCTCGACGATAATATCGCTCGCCTTCGATGCCGCCTTTCAACAGCGTTGTGACTTTTCACATTCCTCCCTTCCGTCACGTTCTCTGATAGTTTCGCCGACTCAGAGCTCCCTGCTGCCCGATGTCTCTCTACTGCGTATCTGGGATTTTCCCCTCTGAACTCTCTGCCCCCCCCCCGCCCCCCCCCGCTATCTCACCCTGGTTCTGACGGAGCGGTGGCGTGGCCCAGCGGTGGCGCGGCCCAGCGGTGGCGTGGCCCAGCGGTGGCGCAGCCCAGCGGTGGCACAGCCGCCGCTTGTCGCAGAGGTTCGCGCTTCTTTTCCGGCAGGCCGCCCTGGTTAACACTGCGGCGTGTAATGGCCGTACAATCCGTGCGGTTTGCTTGACACTGAGCCTTAAAGATGAAAGCATACAGAGACATGAATACAATTTCCACAACCATCATGATTGCTGGAACAATCATCTTCAAATCGATTTAAGCAGCATTCTGTTCACTTATACGTAGGCCCTTAGCGACCAATATCATGATTTATAATTGGTGTATTTTGCTTAGATCGTCGTCTGAGTCTCACGTCAATTAGCGTTATGCACCTTCATCACCCGACAGCTGCACAATTCAAGTTATCACGTGGGCAAATGTGCCAATTGATTTGTTTTTCCAGCAAAACGGTTAAGTCGAAACTGCAAGCATACCTTTGACAATTGTGTACGACGTTTCGCTGGAAATTACAACCAGAGAGAGAGATGTCTCCTGAATTGGAGGACTTTTTCATAATAAATTGCCCACTGGGCTGAGAAGTTGCCCCAGCTCCCTGGGCGCTCGACAACGGGGAAGCGGTCCGCGCGAGTCGCTGCCAGTCGACCCACGCGCCGCGTCTGGGGCGCGAGATGTGGAGATTGCGAGAAACGACGACTGCGCCGAACTTTCTCTGCCTCGGGGCTCTGGGAGGAGGGCGTCCGTCGTGCGTGGCCGCACGTAGCAGCAGGCGGGGCCGGGAGGGGTGCAAGTGGCGGCGGCTCTCGGTGCAGAGACAAAGATCCCCCGTACAGCCTCTAGCAGACTGTTGCGGCAAGTGCTGTGAGCGAGCACCTATGGAGGCCGGCACGGCGCACTAGTGGGTGGGCGGCCAGCACCACGCCCGGCCGCCTTTGTCTCCCCAGTGGTGATGTTTTCACACCAGGTACTCATTTGAGGCTGAGTCGATCTAGGGGAGGACCAGGACCGGTTTAGATCATCGTCACTGGTGTTCCCCTGCTCCATTCCGGCTCAAATTAAGCGCTGATCTGACCACACACGCGGCGCTGCCGTAGTCCAGTACAATGGGCTTCACACTGTACTTGCAATGCAACGGTGACCAGTTCGATCTCCCGGTGCGGCAGTTAAAACACTGTGCAGGTTCTCTTAAACTCCACCCCCCCCCCCCAGCCTCCACCCAGCAGTCTCAATGGGTGCCACACGGCTAGTCGACCATCAGGTCCAGTTTGGTGGGTTAAAATGTGGGTACTCCAACCTCTTCCAAGACGTGTGGTCAGCGTGGGAGAGTACACCACGGATCTTCTCGAGGGGCTCGCTGGAGGCCCTTCCGCCAGCAATGCCGTGAGCGAGCACTTGCAGGGCTGTGCCTTTATCCCTGCCACCTTTATCAGTCATTAAATGTCATGTATTAGTCAGACTATACGAATCTATGCATATATATGAATCTGTACATCCTTAATTTTCAGCGCCCTTAGAATGGCTTATCATGTTACGGCGCTATAGAAATTGTCATTCTTACCATTTATGTGCTATAAATAGGGCCATTGCCCGAAACGTCGCCTACTTTTTCTCGAAAGTAGTGTTACTGTCGAATGTGATTCTGCTTGTGCACCGCTGCTAACGCCGCAGAATCACCAAACCATGTGTCATCATCATCATTGTTGTTGTTGTGATAACTCGCTGGGTTGACCCATGCACTGAGATGAGATTATTTGGTGCTATAAATGTCCAAATAATGGGCCACTTTGCTGAGCTATCATTTATGGCCAGATCGCTTCCCTAAAAACAAGTTAATACTTCAGTGGGCTCTGCCTGGTAGGATGGGGATGGTTTAGTGTGGTATGTGCGTGTTGTGAAGAAGAGCTTTATAGCTCATCGGATTCCTCCTGCAGTCGGAATAAATATTCTGGTTCTGTTACCAACTCCTCGTCTTGGCCAGAGGGCTCCTTCGGCACGTGCATGGGCGTGGTCTCCCCGGGGGGCGTGGTCTACCCGGGGGGCGTGGTCTACTCGGGGGGCGTGGTCTCCCCGGGGGGGCGTGGTCTACCCGGGGGCGTGGTCTCCGGGGGGCGTGGTCTACCCGGGGGCGTGGTCTCCTCGGGGGGGCGTGGTCTACCTGGGGGGCGTGTCCACTTCGGGGGGGCGTGTTTATGAGGCGGAGCTATTCCCATACACGGGGGGGGGTCGCGCGAAATGGGCGTACCAATACATGGCGGGCACAGCGCGTGTGGCGGGGGGGGGGCTTCCAGCGGGTGAGGGGGGGGTGCAGGAGGCGGGGTCATGCCCGGAGGAGGGCGTGTCCCGACGGGTGGGCGTATCCAATTGGCGCGCGCGTGCCCCCACGCGTGCGTGCCTGCATCGCCCCCATTGGTTTGATCGCCGCGGTTTGACGCGATTGGGCTGAGGTGGCAACCAATAGGAGGCGACTTCCGCTCCGAGCGCCGACCAATGGGCGGGGGGCGTTTGGCTGGGCCGGGTCGTGTTGCTGGGCGAGCGGCATCGGCGCTCGGGGTAAACAAAACGGCGGCCGCGTCCCCGCGTCGCCCCACGGCTCCCCTCAGCAGACATGGACCTCGCCGCCGCCGCCGCCGCCACCGACAACAACAACAAGATTCAGATCCTGCTCGCCGCGGCCGAGTATCTGGAGAGAAAGGACAGGGGTGAGGGCTGGGGTGGCGCTGCCTGGCTGGCAGGAGGTCCGTTCCCCATTGTTGTTGTTCTCCCCCCCCCCCGCGCGCGTCTTGTTGCTGCCGTCGCGGTCATGGTCGTCGACGGCTCTCGGCCCCCCGCCCCCCAACTCTCCTCTTGTCGCTTGTCGGGCTCCGTGCGTACGACTTGTGTGACGGCGAGCTGTGAGCGCGGCGACCACCGCCTCGCCCCACGGGGTCGGTGTGTGTCTCCGTGTGTCTCCGTGCCCCCCCCTCCTCTCGCGTCTCTCGGGCCGAGGTCTCACGCCGCCGCCGCTGTGCCCGCAGAAGCGGAGCACGGCTACGCGTCCATGCCGCCGTCGAGGCGGGAGGAGGAGGAGGAAGAGGACGAGTCCCCGAGTAGGAAGAGGCTCAAGACGAGGAAGGCGCCCAGCATCAGGTACGGGGGGCTCTCCCCGCGCCATCTTCGCACAGCCCGGGGGGGGCTGCGCGTGGGCGCCTCCCGTCTGCCCTGGGCCCCGCGGTTGGGGGTCCCCTGATGGGTGCCCGCCCGAGTTGCCGCCTCTCGCCCAGTGCCCCCCCCCCCCCCACGTATGTGTGTGCGTTGACCTTCTTTCGCACCGTACGTAGTCAGCCGTGCTACTCAGATGGGGACCCCCAACTGTGGCTGCCCCCCCCCCCACGCCCTCTGCAAAGTACCCAGAAGCCCCCCCGAGTGGGGGGCAGCTGCGGTGTAGTGGAGCAGCTGACGCGCTCTTGAGTTTCGTTTCTTGTATTTAAATGTCAGAGGCGGGCGCCGCGGCGGGGAGTTTACTGCGGGGCGCCTCCCCGCCACGTGGACGGCGACGGCGGCGTTGTGAAGGCGGCCTGCGACCCGTGATGGTGGTGGTGGTGGTCGTGGTGGTGTCCGCGTGGTGGTGGTGTTGGTGGTGTCCGCGTGGTGGTGGTGGTCGTGGTGGTATCCGCGTGGTGGTGGTGTTGGTGGTGTCCGCGTGGTGGTGGTGTTGGTGGTGTCCGCGTGGTGGTGGTGGTGTTGGTGGTGCCCGCGTGTTGGTGGTGTTGGTGGTGTCCGCGTGGTGGTGGTGTTGGTGGTGTCGGCCCCGCTGTCGCTCGTTGTTTGCGTTGTCGTGAATGCGGCGGCTGCATCGTGATGACTGCCCCCCCCCCCCCGCTACTTGGTTGCCTTGCGGTGGCTGTAAGTGTGCGAGAGCCGTGATGGTTATGTTTTGATGACCGGCACCGTATCGTGTTCACTCTGTGCGGTAATTGCAGTGTTAAACATTTGCTGTGGTAGCTGGGTTGATTGTCGTGGTGCTATTATCTGCGTTACGATGACTCGATATGCCACGACTGCTGTGGTGTTGTTGTTGAGGCTGACCTCGACGTAACTTTAGAGCGGTGTGGCCTCAACACACCGAACCAGGCAACCGTGACGACGTGTCATAGCGAGGGCAAGCTCGCCTCGACTGTCAAAGCAATAAAGCCAGCATTGCAGACAGCCGTGTTTACCGGTGAATGTTCCCCTGTGTTTCAGATCCACTCACAACGAGCTGGAGAAAAACAGGTGAGTGGGTGGATTTGGCTGCGAGCCTGAGCCGGCTCTGTGCGCGTGAGCAGGGCCCACTGACCAGCTGCACCAATCAAAGTTCCCTTGCTTGCTGCATTGAGGTTTGATGTGTTTATCATGCTGCTGGATGTTCTGTCGACAGAACGTACCGTATCCAGCGTTGTGTAGTGTAGCACGACCGCATACACGACAGAATAAATTAATTAACCCAGACATAATCGCGTCTGTCAAACTGTTAAGCACGTTGCTCTTAAAGCGAAGTAAAACACTGAACCTGCAAGGGAACGCTGTCCTGCAGGACAGCTACGTGCATGCCCCTGGACACCGATTTGGGATCGCCGTGTCAGCTGGGGAGGGGCCTTGCTCACGTGTCCCGAGTTCCATGCCCCCTCCCCCAAACACCCTGTGGGCTTTGCACAGGAGCTGTGCTGGGAGCAGAGTGTGTGTGTAGTGAGTGTGTTGTGTGTGCACCACAGCACGTGAGGTGTGTTATTGCTCACATGTCGGTGATCAGGTTGCCAATGTGAAAATGATAGCACATAAGAGGAGTGTTGCGTGGTTAAATCTCGAAATAAGTTCGCTATTTTTAAACCACGTTTTTGTTGAGGTTTTGCAAACAACATTTACATGTGCTTAATGTTGACAGTTCTACCACTTTTGACTTCTCTTGCCTCTGAACGTGTGGAGTCCATCCCACCTCCTCTTCCCACCAATCCATAGACCTCGCAGCACACCATTCACCTCTAACTCCGGTACAGAACAACATTATTGAGATGATTAAAAATAGTCGAAAGCGAATTATGAATAAAATTGCTTAAATTGAAAGTCGTAAGTCGCGTAAACATTTCGGGAAATAAACGCGCTGTACATATGAAGCACAGCTCTGTTGCTCTTCATGGGAACGAGGAGGTTTGTGATGGTCCTCATTATGTACAGACCCCTATGGATTTTCATGTAATCGGCCTCTGCGTGGGTGCTACGGTTGACATTTGTCGCGTGGCATTGCCCGGAATCCAGCAATGCCCTGGCACTGGAGGTTTGCTCATATGGTTGCGTGCCCACGTTATTGCAGGGGAGGTGACATTCAGAAATATATACCAAGGTGGCCAGTGTCAATTACAATGTAATTATGTCATTCGTCATGCATTACCATCACTATTTAATTGTCATTTTAGCTCACGTATTGCAAATGTAATTGACCCCAGGTCCAACCAAAGGCAACACCCACAGGCGCGTGGGTGTTTGTGTTGTCACACGTCAACGTGCGACGTTAATCATAAGTTGGTACATTTGCTATTCGCATCTAGTCTCATAGCGCAAGGCTGTCACGAAGGTGCTATGTTTCACATTTTCTGCAGTAGTTTCACAATAAGGGGCTATGCGCCTGTGTGTACTCGACATTTTGTGATTTGCGGGTACATTTTCAAATGGACACTGGCACACAATGGCCTACTCGTTTTGAAACATGTCAGGTGATCTTTAACATCCACTGTTATGCAGGCAGTGCGTATTTCATGGTTATTTCGACCAATAATAACCAGGGTGGCCTGCCGAATTCGAACCGCGGATCTCTGCAACAAGCGGTGAACGCGATCTAGTGGGTGGTAAGCGATGCTTAAAAAAAACAGATGCAGAAAGGTTCCTTACTGCCGTTCTCTGGAGAATCCAGAAGAACTGAATTGAACCTGAAAAATCTTCCTGCGTGCCAAAAAGTGTTGCCAGTTTCCCCCACTGCGTGGTGTGACGTGCCACACATTGCACGTGATGCTGCGCAGGCATCACGGGCTGGACTCCAAATCCGTTCATGATGTCACTACATCATCGTTCTGATTTTGCCATGGGAATGCCCTGCACTGCATCCCGTGACGTTGGGTGACGTGGATGTCACCATCAGGAAGGCTTGGTTGAGGAGAGCATGAACATTTAGATCATATCCTGGCTTGACTGTCTGAAATTCCAAGGTTTATTTGAAGCAATAAAACCTTCAGAATTATATTGAGTTTTGAGTGTCGTCATCCAGTAAACAACATAATTGTTTGTAGAGAGTAAAGTGTAAATAGAAATATTCTGGATGCTCAGGGAGAATTGAGAGACATTTTTAAGTTCATAGTAGACATTATTTACACTGGTCATTGTGGAAGTGGTTTTGAAACCACGGTATATTTCACTGGGGATTTTTACGCATACTGAGAAAGAGAGGCCATGATTGGTGATTTATATTGACCAAAGGAGGGAAAAAAAATCCCCAAATCTTTCACTGTTACAGAGTCATTGTGGAGGCCTTTCATATTTATATGTAAGACCGTCCAGTTGTTGTCAAACGAGTAACAAATTCGAAAACATTTTCAAATGAAAAACACCAATTTTGGTTATGCCCATAACAACAATCTTGACCGACTGACATCCTTGGAAATTAAAACGTGCAGCTGTTTAATATTTTGCATGAAAATAGAAAAATCTGTTTGAGAATAGCAAGATGCCTGGGCAGTCTTCTACTACAGGGTCGTAACGGATGCATCTGGTAGACACATCACCGTCAGTGTCGCCGTCTACTCGACTTCAATATTCTTAGCGTGTAGCCGTTTCCCTTGGGCCACGGAACCTGTGCTTGACAGACGTGCAGTTTTTAATGTGACTGCTTGCATGCAAGCTGTGTGCCTGTGCGTTGGTGGGCATGTAAGGTGTTGAGCGTTTCCCCCCACCCCCCCACAATATCAGGCGACATAAGTCTATTCATAGTATGCATTGCGTGACATTTTGTTTTTGCTTGCATGCATTTTAAGCGACTCTGGCTGGAGCAGATGTTAGCTTAATTTCATGTTTAAATAGCTTCGTGACATTGTAAATACAAATGGAATGTATTTACCCGGGAAAGCCTTTGCTGGGGTCTCAAGACTTTCCCAGAAGGGCTCCTGCCTTGGGCTGTTTGGCCAGTTCCATCTGAAAGCTGAAAGAGGGTTTTGTATTCTATCGTTTGTCAGGGGAGAAGTTTGCAAATATGTGTACAGCGAGGAGGTATGTTTAGATCACAAACATCTTTTGAATTCAAGTTATAAAGGTCTCGAGCGCCTCTCGGGCATACACGGAAATGCAGAGGACCTCTTACTCGCTTGCAATAGCGAACTGTATAGAGCCAATGCGGATGCTAATCAGAAAGCAAATGGAAAACATTTTGTAAGTGGACAAATGCTCGCTGATAAACGTGTTTCTAGTATTGTGCACTGCTACCATAGGATTAGTCACTGCTTATGCTTTAACACAGATAACCCTCAGGCTTGATGTTTGTAGTTTGCGTAGGTGTGTTGCCTTTACTGCAGTCGTACAGAACTACAGTACCGTGTATCCATTTACAGAACTTCCAAGGTATAATTTTAAAATGTAACATGGTGAACTCGATTATTTGAGCATGCCCAATGTTCTAAAAAAGAAAATGTGTTAAATCACTCATCAGCGTTTATTCAAATTACATGTTTTACAGCCCATATGTTTCATAAATCTGATTGATTGTTCTTGTGAGGTCATGCCAACTATTTAAGAAGCCGGTTAGGAGACCGATTATTATGACACCCTGGATTCTTATTCTGACTTTTTAGATCTTGTCCTGATGAGGTTTGACGTAGTTTCAAATCTAATTGCGAAAATAGGTTGAGAACTGTTCTTCAACTCACCGGTGTGCCGAAACAATAATAATTGGCGCTTGGTTAAATATTCTTACGCTGTGTGACAATTCAGTTTGATTGGCTGTGTCAATTGGTGGAGGGCCTGGACAACACAATTGGTTTTGAATCGCATTTACTCCATCGTAAAGAAGACGTGGAAATGTTATGCGGTAGCACAATAGCGGACGTAGACTGGCTGATGCACATTCGTGACAGACTTTTACGACTGTCATGAATACGCCACTCTGCAGACCCACACACTTCCTGTTGGACCATAGAGCTTTTTATACCTCTGGCTGTCGGCACAGTCTGTTTTTGGAAGCGATGTTTGTGCCGCTTGCCGTGGCACTGATCTTCGTCCTGCGGAGGAGAGAGCAGCGGGCCACGTGGCTGTGGTCTTGTTTCGGTGTGTCCACGTGAAAGGGTTGATATGGAGTAAGCGGTAGTGCAGCGTTACTGGCTTCAACTGAAATTGTAAGATTTGAATAATCCTCACAACCGTTGTATCCATTTGGTGCGGTCAGTGCAATAACTGATGGTGGATTATGGGTGCAATTATGTGTCTTCACGTGATTTGTATTATCGCCACAATCTGGGGTCGCAAATCGATTTAAAGAACATTTTCGTTTTTTAACATCGCAGTGAAAACTCTCGTGACTCTACTGGCTGCAGGTGTGCCATGAAGCCATTACATACAGCATATATGAAATAAAGTAATTGATTCTAAGTGCACTTAGAAATCAATAGTAATGAACCGATGCTTCTCTCCTCCCCAAGTATAGTGGATATGTGCACCTGTGTATACACTTTATGTATAACAAGAGTTACCGTGGGTCATATATTTGTGATGTCAGCACTGGTTATACCAGGCTTGGTACATCTGCCGAGGGTAGAATGGTGGAAGATGGCTGACAACTCCCGTAGGACACAGATGTCGTGAGTGAGAGCTGTTTAACGTTGCCCATTGTTTCCAGTGTCTTTGTGCGAGTTGGCCATCACTCTGCTCATTGTCCCCTCTGCCTGCTTTTGTTGTCTGGGGGGGGTGGAGGGGGTGGCCGCCTGCGCCACTTGGCCAGCGGCCCTCAGGCGTGAGCTCTCTCCCAGTCGCTGCAAGGCTCTTGCAAAATATTCCGCACCGCCGCATTGGTCGACCTTCTTTTAGTCTTGATCCCTGGCGGGCATTTGGTTTGGTTCTGTTTGTGGAGAAACCCACACACGTTGCTTGTTCGCGTGTGTGGGCTACGTGATCACGTTGCTTGTTGGGGTTTGCAGGCTACGTGATCTGTGCATTGTTGCGTCAACTTCAATCTGGGCACCGTGCGTGATAATGTTAGGAGG